GGCACACGTAGCAGAGCTACAGGGGAGAGCCACGCAACCGCCCACCAGGCCGCCCATGATGCAACGGAGGCCCAGAGGGTGCGATCGATGCCGCAAGCAAGGAGAGGGTGACCGCTGTCGGCATTGCTACCGTTGTGGAGCGGACAACCACTTCACTAGAGGATGTAACCTTCGAAGAGACCAGCCGGGAAACGACTCCGGAGCTCACCAAGGGGATCGGGTGTAGCTCGTCATGGCCGCAAGGGGTCCCCCAGTACAGGTAAGTGTCCAAATCGTAGTGTTAATGGGATATCGGGCAACAGTGGTGCATGTCTCCCTCCTCGACAATTACACAATTTGGTAAAGTTGGTTGGGGAAAGATGCACTATTAAGTGCTTGTTAAATGGGCACAAAATTGAGGCATTGTGGGATACTGGGGCGCAGGTGTTGGTGTTGTCAGAGGACTTCAGGAAAAACATTCTTCCAGATGTACTCTTGAGGGATGTCAAGGAGCTTGTGCCCAAAAACTTAACATTGAAGACAGCAAATAAGTCGGAAATTCCCTACATCGGCTGGATTGATGTCCAGTTTGATCTGGAGACCCACGGAGGACCCTCCTATAGGTGTCAAGTGCCATTTTTGGTCACCGAGGAGGACATCTATGAACCAATTATCGGTACTAACGTTATCGGGGAAATTGTCAGGAACTCCAAAAGTCTCCAAGGAATATGCCAAGCCCTTGCGACTTCCCTTCAAGAACACAAACAAGACATCCCGAAGCTGGTGAACCTCCTTAAGGCAGACATCCCCAGCGATGTTTGCCATGTAAGAGTTGGTCAACTACAAGAGCGAATACCAGCCAATAAGAGTTGGATGTTAGATGTCCGCGTACGACCAGGACCAGTAAGAGAGGAAACCACTGTCCTCTTCGAACCAGACAGGCATATGGGATGGCCAGAGGGCATCGAACTAGAAGCTTGCTTGGTTCAGCTAAGTCCTGGGAGCTCATGCTGCATCCAGCTACCCATTCACAACCATTCAGGGAAGGACACCACCCTACCTCGCTACACCTCCCTTGGGAGGTTAGAGCAGATAGGGACAATTCTCCCTGAAAACATCAACGAAGAAGATGACACAACAGAAGTGCCAAAGGTGACAGTATCTGCAGTCTCAACTGAAGAACAAAAGAAGAACAACAATACCTTCGACTTCAGCCAGCTGACTTCAGAGCAAAGGGTTGCAGCAGAGGACCTCATGAAACAGGAAGCAGGAGCTTTTTCTACTGGAGAACATGACATGGGCTGCATTCGTAACCTCCAAATGAAGATAAGATTGACCGGCGACATACCTGTACAGCGAACTTACCAATCCATTCCCCGCCCGTTATACCAGGAGGTGCAAACCTACTTGCAGGATCTGATTGAAAGAGGGTGGATTGTGAAATCAGAGTCTGCTTACGCATCCCCTGTAGTCTGTGTCCGGAAGAAAGATGGTGGCCTTCGCCTCTGTGTCGACTATAGGGGACTCAACAGCAAAACAATACCAGACCGGCAACCCATCCCACGCATGCAAGACGTCTTAGATGGTCTAGCAGGAAACTTGTGGTTCAGCACTCTTGACCAAGGGAAAGCATACCACCAAGGGTTTATGACCGAAGAGAGCAGACCACTGACAGCCTTTGTCACACCTCGGGGACTGCATGAGTGGGTTAGAATTCCCTTTGGTCTCAGAAATGCCCCTGCTGCCTATCAGAGGTGCATGGAGAATATCTTAGACGGGCTGAACCATGTGATATGTGAGGTGTACCTTGATGACATTATCGTCTATAGCAAGACTTTTGAAGAACATGTTGCCAATCTGAGAACAGTGTTTCAACGGCTGCAACAACATGGAGTGAAACTGAAGCCAGCCAAGTGTCACACTTTCCAAAAGAAGGTGAAATATCTGGGACGTATAGTCACAGCTGATGGATACAGACCGGACCAAGAAGAAACGGCTGCACTTCAGTCACTGAAAGAAAAGACACCAAAGACAATTGGAGAAGTACGGAAGCTGCTTGGGCTGACAGGCTATTACAGACGGTACCTCAAGAATTACGCAAAGAGAGCCAGACCGCTTTACCAGCTTCTACAAGCACAGGACACAGGAGAAGTCAAGAAGAAGACCAGGATAGCCAAGCCGAAGAAGTCTGGAGGTCAAGCTCCATCGAATGCCCCAGTTACTTGGTTACCTTCCCACCAGGCAATCATAAATGAATTCATTGATGAGCTAAGTAACCCACCGGTAATGGCATATCCTAACTTCACTCTTCCGTTCGTGCTGCACACTGATGCCCCCCAAGATGGGCTCGGAGCGGTGTTGTATCAAGAAAAAGATGGGAAGTTACGGGTCATCGCCTATGGTTCCCGAACCCTGACACCAGCCGAGAGGAATTACCATCTACATTCGGGTAAGTTGGAATTCTTGGCCCTTAAATGGAGCATCACCGACCAATTCCGAAGTTACCTCCAATACGCGAAGTCATTTGTGGTATTCACGGATAACAACCCCCTCACATACGTGTTGAGTACCGCAAAATTGAATGCTACTGGTCATAGGTGGATTGGGGAACTAGCAGATTTCAATTTCTCCATCCGCTATAGACCGGGAAGAGCAAATGGGGATGCTGATGCTCTATCACGTATGCTATTGGTGAACAGCAATCTAGCTGCAGAGTACAGTGAGGAGATCTCCCCCGATGTCATGACTGCCACCCTCCAGGGAATCCGCTACCAGTCGAATGATGATTTTGCTGTTGTACATTCCTTGGTGGTGGATCCAGCTGTGGAGGATGACATGACCGACACCACATTGGGATGTACCCAGTTATTCTCCTTACAGGATGTCAAAATAGCTCAACAGGAGGACACAGACATTGCCCCTATTTTGCAATACCAAGCCAAGAGAAGATGGCCAAAGAAGCATGAGCGGCAGCATAAGACCCAAGGTACCAAGTCCATCATGCACGAGTGGAAAAGGCTAGAGGTTGGAGATGATGGAATCCTCCGTCGTGTAACCAAAACTAAAACACAGCTAGTCCTTCCAAGGAAGTGGTGGATCTTCGTTTGCGAGGAGCTCCACAACAAGATGGGACATCTGGGATCAGAGCGGACGGTAGAGTTGGCAAGGGATAGGTTTTACTGGCCCCACATGGACAGCACAATCAACACTTACGTCACCACCCAATGTCAGTGTATCAAACAGAAGAAACCATCGAAACCCAACAGGGCCCCCCTCATCCCTATCGCAACAGCAGAGCCTTTCGAACTGGTGAGCATCGACTTTCTTCATCTAGAACGTAGTCGTGGAGGATATGAGTACATTCTGGTCGTAATGGACCATTTCACCCGATTTGCACAAGCATATCCCACGACCAACAAATCCGGTCGAACTGCAGCAGACAAGGTCTTCAACGACTTTGTTTTGAAATTTGGTTTCAAAACAATCGATTCATTGTATATACATTATTATGTTTAAGGTTGTTTTGGAGTATATTAGAGGAGCGACTATCGGTAGATCAGAGATTGTTGCTTGTTACGTCTCATTTTATTGTTGCATTGTTAGGTAGGATCGCGATGATCAGTTTAGTTCAATAAATGTTTAATATAGAATTGATACCTTGTGGAAATGTCGAAGATGACATTTGTTTTTGGAGGGATGGGTGTAAGGCCCTGGAAAATATGCCTCCCTCAAAATTTTGTATACATATATCCTGTTAGTATTGTCATATATTTTACACACCAGTTTCTTAAAAAGTTTACACAGCTTGCTGCAAAGATGCAGAAACCCAACCCCTGTTTCCGAGAAGTGGTGACTCATTATTGTGCCCTCTCTCCAAAACGAAACCAAATCGAAGGCGTTGGTCATGTCAGTGGTTTCTGCCTGATAGCATCAGTTCTACAGTGTATACCTGATGCTTCACAGTAAACACTTATTCTGACCAGCCTCTTCATTTCTTTTCAGGTAAGAAATTACAACTTTTTATCTCTTTCAATTCTGTCTGGCCAAGTTAATTATTATTGTTTAATTCATATATGACATTGTTGTGCTGCAACTCGTGTTTAATAATGAAGTGAATGTTATTAGTGATTTAGAACCAATTAAGTGTATTTTATCAAAACCAGACTGATCATGAGAGATGCAGGCTTAACATATGTATCTACGTGCCATGTATCTATTGTATGGTGTTAGTTATGTTTATGAAGCATTTAGATTATATAATTGTCGTATTATTATGTAGTAGAAGTAGTAAATCTTTATATATTCATACTAAGTCAGGTTAAACCAACTAGTGTGAACACACCTCATAATGTGTGTATGCTTAATGTGAGATGTATAGTGACGAGTTCATACCCCACTATACAAGAGTAGTAGTAAAGTTAATCCTGATACCAATTCAATAGTCTGTGCATCGGGAGAAGTTTCTCTAGTCTTTATCATAGATAACTGTGACATGCTATGACTAATGACTTGTGGTCAGCAGTAGTCCACCAACTGGACAAATGAGGGAAAATCGTAGAAAAGAGAGAATTTGGGTTCATAGTTCAAGATTCAGGTCTTTGATAAATGATTTGTTATGCATTTGTAGTTTCTCTCGCTTTCTCTTTCTCTTTCTCTCATGTCTCTCTCTTTTAATCCCTCTCATTTCTGGTTTCTCTCTTTAACTGTTAATATCATATTTGAAGCTTGAGTGTGATTTTGTTAGAATATATTCCTTGGATCTTTTATTATACTTTTGTTACTGCATATAGAGAAGAGTTTTGTTAGAATTGAGAAAGTAATTTGGTATTATTTTAGAAAAGGATCTTAGGGTTACTGCGACTATAGACAGGTTGGGATATTGGAGAAAGTTGGGTTATTGTGTAAAAAGACACAAAACGACTTTTAACTGGTTCACCTTGGTCTATAATTACAGTTAGCCGTGTTCAGATTAGAAGATAAGCAGTCAGATGCCTATGCCAATGTTGTTTATGAATTTAGAGTTAGCTGTGTTCATATTTATATTTAATCCGTATTACTTGTATTTAGTTTCATTAGTGGAATATGTTATTCCATGTTTATCTTTATGTTATTAAAGAGTTCTATACCTGATGCTTCACAGTAAACACTTATTCTGACCAGCCTCTTCATTTCTTTTCAGAATTTATATTATTTACCCCCGGACCGGGGTAACATATGCAATTTGCATTCTGAAAATTGTATTACAAAAGATAGTAGCAGATGAATGAAGTACTTCATCACTACACACAACTGGGAAAGAAGCATCCATAAATTTTAATGTATTTAGTTGATAACAAAAATCGCATAGTACATCACGTTATCCAGAAAATGGCAAAAATGTACATTATGCTAAGAATATCTTCCTTCATTCACTTTGGTGGAGAATCTTGTAAGATTAATGGGCAAGAATACAATAAATCTTTCAGAATAACTAAAGTTATTTCTTGGGGTGAGGCTTCCTTTAATTAACCAAATTAAGAAAATTTGAACTGCTGCCACTAGACCTTCAATATGTGTACATGTACATTTACATGTATCGAACATGAGATTTCCCTCAACATATGGGCAAGACAAGATCTTTAAGAGACTGACATTAAAAAACTTAAATAATGACAAAGTTAAATTGTCAATAGGAGACCTTTAACTTGATAAAAAATTAGATTTGTGTATGCTTTTCAAAGATGACAAGAAAAAACACTCCTCCCAGGTTTTAGCATTTGTCTTGGTAATTAGAACTTCAATTACATTAGGTGCTGTTAACCTAAAAACTTGAATTGTACTAATCGCCTGAAAAAATAATCCTGTGTGGCCAGAATGTATAAAATCAACCTCAAAAACTTGTAATAATAATATTAGGTCTTTTTACAGTGTAGGTAAAAACTCTACTACACTTAATAGAAAGTATATAATTACCCTGGCTGTAACTGAGCTGCCTTTTAATAATGAGGTGCTAAAGCATTCAAGGAATTTCTTCATACCAGGTACCCCTTTACTCCACCTAGGTTGAGAGTGGCAAATGTTGATTAATGTCTTGCCAAAGGACATTAGTGCTGCAGCGGGACTCAAACTACAAACCATGTGTTCTACATATGTAGGCCTTTATAAGATCAAGGTTCATTTCTTGAAAGGTAGGAATGCTTGTGACATAATTATATTGACTGCCGTCATCTCAGGAGTTTCTCAATATTGCTCCACTGTTGTGTGTTCTGCTTCGATGAGTCACCAGCAAACTGAAGGAAAAAAATGAAAAAGGGGGATATTCAGCCTCATGCTTTCGCTCAAGATCATCACTTATAGTGCCACTATTAGACAGGTCCTTTTTCATTCCATAACATTGATACAAATCTTAATTTTCAGAAGGTCTCTGATTTATCATCATTTTGTATCAAAGGGCTAAACAAAACCAGCTTCTCATCTGCAAACTGACAATTTTCAACTGTTCTTCTAGCAGCACCAAAAAGTCATTTCATGGGCAATTATGGCACTTATAGGTAAAGGTAATTTTCATTTGCAGCCACTGTGTTATGGAACAACTTGCCAGAATACCTTAGAAATATAGAAACATATGAAAAATTTAGAAGTAATTTGAAAGCATATCCATTTAGCACTTTGTAAGATCCCACAATTATGAACGCAGTACGCCATTGCCACATATTCTGTATTCTATTCTGTAAAGTGCATAAAGACATGCAAGTATGTCTATGTGTTATGCGCTATACAAAAACATTTAATTATTATTGCTATTATGATTCTAAACTAAAAATTGGGCTGTAATGCTAACATAGCACAGCACTGAAAGGGTTAAATAAGTTACCTTTATAGATGGAAAACATGAATGAGTTGGTTGTAATGATGAAGAGCTGCTTATATCAAGCAGACTGAACCATACAGCATCAGGCTCGGCTCCGATAAAACCCTCAAACGCTGATATACAAGCCTATCAAGAAAAACAACATACTTTACACGTTATATAACTCTTTTCTATCGGGTGCATTGTGCATGAATCCAATCTAAAATGTTTTGAACAAATATAAACACACTATATCACATTATCTTCATCTGTATAGGCATTTGCATCTACATATAAACAGAGCATAACAATTATTGAACTCGTGGACAAAATTCTTTTCTCACAAATAAGTACTCTTTTTTCTTTGTTTACTTGCTCCTCTCTCTGTTGTGTTACATACTACAGATTACATTTCCCCACAAATCTGCTGAAGATTTTTTTGTTGTGGTAAGAAAGAAAGAGGAGTGGAGAAAAAGAGTCCAACCTTATACAATCCTGTTGGGAAATTGAGTGGCCCTTAGTAACACTACTGGTTGATAATGTATGTGACACAGACAGAGATAAATGAGTGAGTGAGTGAGTGCATTTGATAGAAGAGAGAGGGAGGGGGAGATGAGGACAGTGAGAGTGAAAGAAATAGAGAGAAAAAGAGAGAGTGTGAAGTGATAGAATCTGACTGACCTCTTGTAGTCCTACTGGTTGACATGCGTTAAGGTAGGGAATGCAAGCCTGAACCATCAACAGCAAGTCTGCTTCACAGATATCAACCTGTCAAAGAAAAATAATGTGGTAATACAAAGTTCTGGAGTCTGTCTGATAAAGAGTTACAATTGATTTAATAAAATCAATGGCTACTTGCTTCCGATGGCAACTCTTGACCATAGGTACTTGGAGGACTTATGATCAATTTGGATCAATCACAACTTCTTGGAAAGGATGGGTATAGGTGTATAGTTTTTTATTTTATTACTACCAGTATTGCCTGTTGATTAATTTTATTCAAATTTCATTTATGTTTATTATTTGTTTATATATGTGCAGGGCCCCTCTTAATGAGCTTCGCTTTCTCAGGGGTCCTTCCAATGTATTTCTTTGTATGTATTCATTGTGTAATTATTATGTTTTTAATGGAAAAATAAATTGAAATTGAATTATAAGACAGGGCTCATGTAAGGGCTGAAAGGATGCAACAAAAAGTTTGGAGGGCTATGAGAAAAGAGCATCACAGAATCCTACATGAAGGTATACTGAAACAAGATCACATTCAACTTGGGAGTAACAATTCTGATGTAACTACTGTGCAAGATAGACATGTAATAAGCAGTCATTATTGGTAGGTCATTTGGAACATAGTAACGTACTAAGAACTACACCGACATTAAGCATGACAACTTTAAGTGGTCATGGTCCTTATTCTACTAAAATTCGAACCCACCGCTTGTTTTGTTTGCGTTTTTTTTTTTTACCCGACTGCTAAAAATGCAAGTGTATGCTTGTAAGTACTAATCAGGGGACCAACCACTGCTTTGAGTCCTCTCCGAAGGACTTGGTAATGAGGACTAAAGGGAACTAGCGCATTGTCTTGGTTTCGAACCTACCAACTCCAGGTTACAAGATAACTGCTCTACAACTGAGCCATCGTGCCTCCTTAAATTGGGTTTAAATGGGGTCTAAAGTTTTGTTTAACAAAGGGTACAAACCGAGGTCAATCTAAGTTTTTCTGTTGTGTATCACGACTTTACAACCAGCGTTGAGTTAAACTGAATAAGTAGAACATGAGGCAAATTGACTTGAATGTTTCAGAATATAATGGAGGTTGAATATTACCTGTAAACATAGCTGACCTATTCCAGCTAGAATGGAATGCTGTAATTTGTAGTAAGCTGTATGGTGATAGCTCGAACCAGCCTTTTCACTATATTGCACAAAGAATAATGCACGACAATAACTGGTACATCACAATAATATTCTATTAAAAATTTTTCATCCAAGGGTGAAAGACAAAAAAATAAAGAAATCAAATTAAGATCAAAATTGGCTACAAAATCACAAAAAGGCCCCTCTTATTTAGGGTTCAAAGTATCAACATCCCCCAAAAGTCTGTTTAATTTGGTTAAGAATTGCTGAAACAATCTTGTACCTTGTAATTAATTACAATTAACATTTACACATCTCTCTTTCATTGATGTCATATTCAAACACATTACATGCACATACCTGTACGTGTATGTTACAATACCAACCTCATTGCAGCATGAGTCTGTATGAAGGAGGTGAGTTTGGGCCAGACATCTTTCACAACTCTTCTTCGGATAAAATCCCTGGAGCTTTCCGCTAAAGTGAGAAGAGTTTCAAAGGCCTAAACAAAGGAAAGATAAATTGAAGTATGAACATACTTTTAACTTTAATATTGAAAAAAATATATAGAGTTGTACTTGATATACATTATTACAAACAATGTTGATAAAAATGTAGCATTACCACAAGCATAAAAAACAAGCACTTTAAATTGACACTACCGCAAATATGGTATTTGGCCATAGAGGGCAGCACCAGCCATGGTTATATTTGGCAAAGGCACTTTTGGTACCCGTACAAATACATTGGGTCAAGAACTGGAAAGTTCCATAGTTTCGTACAAGAAACAGATTATAATGGTGCCTACATAGATCTCATCAAATCATTGGGGGAGTTCATGAAACCTGAACAGTAGTTAAGTAAAATATAGAATTAGTTGACACTGCTGTACATTCTCTATGGAAGCCAGAAGAAACCTTGTCTCATCGTCTTCCCCCGGTATTGTATCTGTGCACGTGCTGGCCTGTCATAGTATGGGAAGAAGGTCGCCATCTACTGCTGAACATCATATGTGCGATAGGAAGAATTGATCTACCTTCAGTGCCAAAAAAATGCAAGGAATTTCTCTACTACACCTGGATAAAGAAAACCTTTTAAAGATGAAATGCCTTGCATACCAGCATGAGCCTTTGGCCAGACAAGCATGAAGTCTACCAATGAACCAATGTTTCAATCACCTCTGGTCTTAACCTTCTTTTCAGGCTGCAGTGTAAATCATATTTACACATTTATACATGTACTTATTGTCATATACCATTATTAAATGTAAAATTGATTTTTTTTTTTTGGTCACAAATAAACAAATGTAAATGAATGACTTTATAAATATGTGTAAAAAATACCCCGCCCCCCCCCCCCCCAATGTTAGTAAATAATTCATCAATTCTAGAGCTGTTTTCTAAAATTCAGACAAGAGGATTGCTGCGTTACTCACCTTACATGTGACTAGAATCTCCTGATCAGTAAACCTCAATACAAAGGCTGGCCATAGCTTGTGGACAAGAGGCAATAACACATCTATGAAATAGAAACAGAATTAAAACAATCGATCAATAACAAAATATAAACAAAATTAATTAAACGCAAAGGCTGGACTACCTATTTCCTCCCCTCTCCATGCCAAGATATCCGCCCCTAGGACAGTTTATCCTGTTGGATAACCCCTCTCAATACTTTCTCCTTGGATAATTACTCTAAATTATCCCTCAGACAAATGCTTCAAGGACCCACTGCACTATTTGTATAAGTGTAGGGGGAAAACCCTGGTGTAGTGGTCAGTCTGCACAACCCCAATCGGTTATACCAGGAGAAGATACCCCTCGCTTTTCCCCTGCTAGGCAAAGGTGACGCCAAATACTTAATAATAACAATAATGATACTAATGTTACATATAAGACACAAAAACAAGGAACAGACAGTGCTCCAGTACCTTGGTCTGCATGAAGTGCCTCTACAGCAGACTGGACAGTGCTAAGAACCTGAAGTCTCAGACGAGGGTTAGATGAAGACATGAGATTTACGCAGTGCTCCAACACCTGCAGCAAACAAGGAACAAAGAACAGGATTTTCAACATGGTTGTTTATCATGAACTACAAAGTGAGTGAAATATAATCAGGGATATGGCAATAGAGTGGTGAAGTGTGACGTCATCAAAAATCTATTTTTAGAATTTCTCAATTTTGTCTTCATATTCCGAAAGAACATGAAAAATAATGCCCAAATGTCGAAAATCAATTGAATATGTTAAGTATTGGCTGAGATATGACCATCTGAATGAATATACATGTTTGTCCTATGGGAACTCAGTGTTATATGCTCTGGCTCCTAACCATTAGGAGCCAGAGCATATAACACTGAGTTCCTATGGGGAGTATATTTATTCAGATGGTCATATCTCAGCCAATACTTAACATATTCAATTGATTTTCGACATTTGGGCATTATTTTTCATGTTCTTTCGGAATATGAAGAAAAAATTGAGAAATTCTAAAAATAGATTTTTATGACGTCACAGCTTCGGTACTCTATATAAGTGATTCTGAATTTATAATCATGCAGCAAATAATCCTCACAAATCAAAGTATCATGTAAGTTTGGACTTTTATGATGCCTAATTTCCATATATGTTTTGGCCAGAATTTAACATATCACGCATGTATGCTAAGTTTGTTATCATTACCATTTTATATCCAAACAATTCTATTCAAACATTCACCATACCTGTCAACCTTTCAAAGCAAAAATTAGGAATATCTCAGGGCGCAAAATTAGGAATACAGTCTACTTTGTATACTTTTTACACAGAATATTCCAGAAAAAGAGAAGACAGAGAGGAATCTAGGGTTCAAAACAGTAACTTGAAGACAAGAAAATAGGAATCATTCTTCCAAAATAGGAATAGTTGGCAACTAAGTTGTCCAAGCACCATGAGAGGCCAGCAGAGACACAGGTATTAGTGCTATACTAGAAGCCATCATCATAATCATCATCCACTATGAACATGACTGACAAAGAAAGCGGACAAAATATACAGTTCCTCATGTAGACAAAGGAACATCTCTTCACTGCTATTATGTAAAAATGTGTAGAACAGGTGTCACATGCATATTCACCTGTTCTACACATTTGTACATAATAGCAGTGAAGGGATGTTCCTTTGTCTACCTGAGGAACTGTATATTTTGTCCGCTTTCTTTGTCCGTCGTATTCATAGTGATCATCAAGGCCCACAGTCATTCCTTCCCTCACCAGCTTGTGTTGTAGATTATTTAAATTTAAATACCTGTTTGACATTTTTAATGTGGAGAGGGAGTTCCTTGGGTTTATCTGCTTCCTCCATCCATTTCTCCTCATCTTCAGCCTCATTTGTATTCTCTGGATCCATCTCCAAATCCAGGTTCTTAAGATCTTCATCAGCTTTATTCAAAGTCTGAATGTAATCATTGCAGAATGCCACGATGGAACTGACTTGATCTGATTCACAGCTGTAAAGGACAAAGGTAATTCATGTAGAGTTGAACCAACCTATAATACATTCACAAAGACGACCTAGGCTAAAGTGTAATAATAATAATAATAATAAAATGTCCTTTTTTACCCAGAGTAGCCTCATTATTATTCATACTGTTCTCCCTGAGGGCCCTGCAATCATCTTCCTACTGCATTTTTTTTTTTACCCTAGAAATATATCAATCACTACCAATACATGATAATGTTAGCAACATTTTGAATGCACATATATTTCCCAGTAATTAAAGTTCATGTAAGGAAAATAATTTATCCAAGCATTTATATCAGAGTTTATCTCTTTAATATCTCTTAACCCACTGCATACTGAAACCAAGTGGGTCCTGTGTAAAGTCTATGGGAATATAAGAATTCAGTAGTCAACAGGTTAAAGTGACTCAGTAACTTTGCCTCAGATTCTGAAACAAAATACCTATTTGAAGTGCAATTTTTTTAGAACTTCAATATTACACCATATCACTGACACTGATAACACATAGGGCCATGCATCTCAGATTTAACATTGTTAAACTATGCCTTTAAGACTATGTTGCTTGGTGCATCTTACAAAGGAAATGAATGATTAAGTCTGACATCTTACCTTAGTACCTCAGTACATACTTCCTCCTCACTGGAAACAGGAAACCATCTATTGATAGCTAACACCAGAGACTGAAGAACACTCATCAACGATGTGGCATGGTCGCCGTGGTGATCGTCCATGAGATGAAAGACCTGAAATGACACGAAAATTCAATTACAAGAAAATCTATGTTTGCCACTCTTCACCCAGTGGTACCAATTGGATGCCCTATTAATGTGCTTTGCTCAGTATTGTGAGCGTCTGTAAAATGGCCTCTGGCTCAAATGCTCCCAGGGAGTGGAGAATGTGCATACAGTGTGTTACGAGCAAGCCAGACAGAAAACACTTCTTTTTTTAATTCATATATTTATACTGGAGGGCATTACTCAAGGTACATGTAGGTTTGAAAAAGGATAGATAGTTTAACAGAGTTGGTCATGTTATCATGAAGTCTGAAAAGCACATAGACTTCAACACATGTGTCTTAACATTAGAAGAATGAATGCTGCACCTCGGATTTAAATTTTACTATAATATGAGGTTTGAGATATAATATCAGATTGAGAGATTTGTAATTGTGTAACGAGTGTAATGTAAAATTTATCCACATACTGTACATGAGAAATTTATAAATAACATGACATTACTTGACCTTTCCCTTTCCATGCCCTTTCCATTTATTTGCCACATCATTTGAATAGATATGAGCATTACATTACAAAGATATGTGTCCTCTCACTAATTAATAACAAGTACAGATTATCAAAGAAGCCTGTTTACTGGTATGCAAAGAAAAACAATTATTCTGTTTGTTCTAATCAAGTTTGTTTATAAATCTATGGCAGATTGATTCATGTATACTGTACCTCTTCAATGGTATCCTGAAGCAAAGGCAGTATGTCGCATGTGCTGAAGAGAAAAAGGGCAAAAGAAAAAATATTTCAAAAATATTTTATGAAACCAGATCAAGCATTCACATCAGAACTACAATTAATTAGAATAATAAATTCAGTAGGAAACCTATGCTTAACAAAAGCTTGATCTATTTAGCATAATGTGTTGCATAAATGGGAATGAGCACGAATTCTTCAAAGGCTAACTTTTTTCATTTTGTTTTGAAACGTAAATATCATCCCAGTTGAACACAGTAAACTAAACTGTATCCATTTAAAATCAAGTTTGTAATCATCATATGTTATCAATATACTGGATCATGGTTGGAGATTAACGCGAAAAAATTTTCTGCACTCCTAAAGCTCTGCAAACAGCTGTATTCTATGTTCAGACTAATACTTAATACCTGCATTGTTTGACCCAATGCATCAGAGCCCTGTTTCATAAAACTTGTAATCAATAAAAAAATGCTAAATTTCTATGACAAGTTTGCCCTCAGCCAATCACATGCCACTATTTCAGTAGCTTACAATTATTGTAACTTGTTATTGATAAGCAGTGTTATGAAACAGGGCCCTGAAGTGTTCAATACTGGTCAAGGTGTGAATGACATTAGAAGGTGACCTTGACATGACCTACCTGTGTTGCAAGGTGACCTTGAGAACCAATGGTGCTTTGAGGTTCCATTCATAATGCCTGAGAGGAGCTGAGACAGAGTCAGACAAGGTCTGAATTATATTAGAAGGTGACATTGATATGACCTACCTGTGTTGTAAGGTGACCTTGAGAACCAATGGTGCCTTGAGGTTCCATTCATAATGCCTGAGAGGAGCTGAGACAGAGTCAGACAAGGTCTGAATTATATTAGAAGGTGACATTGATATGACCTACCTGTGTTGTAAGGTGACCTTGAGAACCAATGGTGCCTTGAGGTTCCATTCGTAATGCCTGAGAGGAGCTGAGACAGAGTCAGACAAGGTCTGAATTATATTAGAAGGTGACATTGATATGACCTACCTGTGTTGTAAGGTGACCTTGAGAACCAATGGTGCCTTGAGGTTCCATTCATAATGCCTGAGAGGAGCTGAGACAGAGTCAGACAAGGTCTGAATTATATTAGAAGGTGACATTGATATGACCTACCTGTGTTGTAAGGTGACCTTGAGAACCAATGGTGCCTTGAGGTTCCATTCATAATGCCTGAGAGGAGCTGAGACAGAGTCAGACAAGGTCTGAATTATATTAGAAGGTGACATTGATATGACCTACCTGTGTTGTAAGGTGACCTTGAGAACCAATGGTGCCTTGAGGTTCCATTCGTAATGCCTGAGAGGAGCTGAGACAGAGTCAGACAAGGTCTGAATTATATTAGAAGGTGACATTGATAAGACCTACCTGTGTTGTAAGGTGACCTTGAGAACCAATGGTACCTTGAGGTTCCATTCGTAATGCCTGAGAGTAGCTGAGACAGAGTCAGACAAGGTCTGAATTATATTAGAAGGTGACATTGATATGACCTACCTGTGTTGTAAGGTGACCTTGAGAACCAATGGTGCCTTGAGGTTCCATTCATAATGCCTGAGAGGAGCTGAGACAGAGTCAGACAAGGTCTGAATTATATTAGAAGGTGACATTGATATGACCTACCTGTGTTGTAAGGTGACCTTGAGAACCAATGGTGCCTTGAGGTTCCATTCGTAATGCCTGAAAGTAGCTGAGACAGAGTCAGACAAGGTTTGAATTATATTAGAAGGTGACAATGATATGACCTACCTGTGTTGTAAGGTGACCTTGAGAACCAATGGTGCCTTGAGGTTCCATTCGTAATGCCTGAGACGAGCTGAGACAGAGTCAGACAAGTAGTCTACATTCATCAGCAGGAGTTCACTGATTGATCTGAATAAAAAACAAGACATTGTTAACATTTCTGAAGTCTTCTAATCTGGCTACGACTGGATTTGCAAGAAATTGCTTTTGCAATAAGATGTCTGTTTTAGGCCACTTCAACATATTTTCAGTTTTGAGTTACTGTTTTTAATTTGAAACTGCTGCAGCCTTTACATATGTAGGGCAAAGCATGTGATATTTGGGCAAAGCGTGTGATATGTGGACAATTTAAAGACAGAGTATTCTACTGACACTAATTCAGATTAACATATACTGCCGTCTGCTGCTCACAATGTCCTGATGTGTCGACAGCCATGTCCCACAATGCACCACTAACGGCATGACACAACCTGCATGATGATGCATGGGTACAGGAACTGGAAATCAATCTACACCAAGGCGACTTCACCAAAAATTGGCGCAGTTGAAAAAACATTAAAGCAGTGGTAGCGATGTGGGTAAAAAATTACACTTAAATTAAAACGACAACAACTAACCAAATATATATTGTTTATGATTTGAAGATTTTCGGGCATCTTCCTCCACACATTTCTTTATGGCAGTATATATTGATGTCCATTCGGAATGCTTCATAAATCAATGAATGACACTTACCTGTATCCACAGGCCTGGGAAATGATGGCAAGGGTTGCCTGGGCATGCTGGCTGAAATCATGAAAAATAAGATGGTAAGATTACAATTCATTGTGTAAATTTAATGAAAATGTATCAATATGAATTTTTCTTTCGGAAAAGAAAAATGCTTTCTCTACTATTTGCCTAACTACAGGTACATCATCTGTAGAGAATCAAAAGGGCATTAGGTCATATCTTTTTACAAATTTTCAATGAACTTCTGGCTCACCACAGGAAAGGGATGAATAACAAATCTAAAGATATCATTGAATCGATATACTTCAAACTATATGAGAGTTCTCCATTGTCACTGTTTTGTCTGTACATGCACCTTATGATACACCCAGCATTTTATAGATACATGTATTGTATTTATTAAACATCATTGATGTACATCAATATTCTGTTTATAGACATAGTTATAATCACTTTACAATGTAATGCAACAATCGATATATAAAACATAATATAAAACATTTACAACACCTTTCTAAATAAAAAATAAGTCATGCAATACGAAATATGTAAATGAGAACTAAAACAAAAGCATAAGATTGTACACGACTACTTTGTTATAACATATAGTATCTAAAAATTACCCCTCATTGCAATTATGTTTTTGGTGAACAAAGAAAAACTATCTATTACAACTTCATTATCTAATCTCATTATAAATATGAATTTTTCTTGACTATCCAAATTACAAAAATTTTCTTCCAGATTACTAATTGTTTCTATAAAATCTACTCGTAAATCTTTATACTTGTCACATTTCATAATTATATGGAATTCATCTCCTACAAGATTCATATTACAGTCTTCACAGAATCGTAGTGCTATTATTTTATGTCATATCAGTTTATATCAAGTATTATTATTAATGTTATAATACACTGCAATTCTGCTTCTCCTAGAGTAGTCTAATAGTCTACCAATGCATGTCAAAACTAAAACCATCTGCCCTGAAAATAATTTTAGGTTTACATGGCCAATATATATAATTATATAATATATATAAGTGCTATTGTGATCACAAAATAAAATGTCTTCATACTTCATACATGTATATTTACAGAATACCTCAACTAACTGAAATGAAAACCGGTTGACTAACCACACCAATGTTCTTTCATCCGCCATTCTTTCAAGTACTAAGTAGAGACAATGCATCAATAGTTGATTAAACTGAGCTCCTAAAACCTGTACACCATGTAGAATAAAGAAAGAAGAAAAAGCAGGATATGATAATAATAATAAAAGCAATATTAATAGTAATAGTTGTAGTATTAAATATCATAGATGATAATAAATAGTTCAGTTCAGTGTCATTTATTTCCATCAAAATAAAAATACACAGTATACATTTTTTGTTTGTGTGTGTGCAAAAACTGAATAGGGGAAAGAAAGAAAAATACAATGTCATATAGTAAACAATGAGTGCGAGAATTGTCAAAGGTACTGAAGTGAGAGGGAAAAAAAGGGTCCAACAAAAAAGGTAAAATATAAACAATAATAATAATAGCAAGTTCTTATATAGCGCTTTTCAGGACCGAAGGCCCTCTCAAAGCGCTTTACAGATATATATATATATATATATATTACTACCCCGGTCATCGGATTCAGGCTTACCCGCACACAATGTATGCACATTCTCCACTCCATGGGGAGTATTCCAGCCAGGCGTCATTTTTACAAGCGCACACTTGCTAATCTAAGCACATTAGCTTATGCATCCTACCGGGTACCCATTTAACACCTTGGTGGAGAGTGGCAAATGTAGATCAATGTCTTGCCAAAGGACATTAGAGCCGCGGTGGGACTTGAACCGCGGACCTTGTGATCCACAGTCCGGTGACTTATCTGCTCGTCCACGACACCTCTACAAACATGGTGGCCCGAATTCACAAAGCAAGGTTTGAGCTCAGACCAAGGTTTGAGCTCAAACCTCCTTTTGTTTCGCCAAACCTCCTTTTGTTCTTTACAAACCAGGTTTGTAAAAAACGCGTAAAGGCGTCATATGACGTACGAAAACCAAGGTTTGTCGACAAACCTCCTTTGTGAATTCGGGCCAGTATGTTGCATGCAGTGTTAGTATACAGCAATGACAGAACAAGGGCCAAAACCAACCGAGAGAGATTAAAATTCACCTGAGCAAACACCGCAATCCCATCCAAGAGAATACATTTCAGAAGCGTATTATGATTCATCTGTGATACAGTCAATGAATCTCTAGATGATGATGATGCATTCCTTAGTATCAGGTGGGTAGAAGGAGTGGACGGTTGCCATGACAATGATGATGATGAGGGCGATGACAATGGAGCTGTAGATGGAGGAGATGATTGGGTAGTAGGAACATCCCAGCATGAAGGCGACAGGTACTCATCAAGTAGCATACTGCAAAATGTATCAAAAAGAGTATTGATTAGTAAACAAATATACCATGCACTGAGAGGCTCTAGTTGAAATTATGGATCGAGGTGGCAGGAATAGCACTCTCTGTCGCTGAGAAATCCATAATTTCACTAGTGGCTTGAAATAGTGCATGATATATTTGTTTTGTATTTGTCAAACAAATTTTCATAAAATAAACAATTTCTGTGACCGAGGAATCCGTAATTTCACTAGTGGCTTGAAATAATGCATGATACCGATAGCACATTGATCTTGATCGATCAGATCTATGTATCTATGACGTCAAACATGGTATAGAATGACGTCACGGTATAGCACATTTTGCTTATCGGTAACATCATAGCAACGTTATGTTTGGTCACATGATGCTATGTTGACCAATCACTGAACAGGATTTCATGAATCAAAAATATAAAATATCGTGTAGCACAGTTTATTGGCAATTCCAAGGTAGATGGGCATTTCTGTGTTCCATATGTTACCAAGTATTGTGGAATTTTGAACATGAATTGACATGTGTCACTCCACTTTATATTTGGTCTGATCACAGCTCTATAGGGCTATAGAATTGGATTAAATTGAATTGAATTGAAATGGTATTTATAATCAAATCCACACAGCAGCCCAAGGGTTGAATGGTATGGAGCTCACAGAGTACAATCACAAAAACAATATGTCTTTCAAATCTATCCATATATCATAGTAATACAATAATAGAGAGAGAGAGAGAGAGAGAGAGAGAGAGAGAGAGAAAGGGAGAGATGAGACAGGAAAAAACAATGATATTTCAGTCTAGGGGAAGAAGAGCTTGTAAATAACCTACTAAGTGAGTTACGGTATTAAATCAATCAACTTCATGCCAAATCCAAGATGTGATCAGTAATGTATTAACAAAAGAGCTTGGATTTGCCCTAAGATTTAAGTAGTATACGTACATCACATTGCAAAGACCATTTGGGGGGGGGGGGGCTAAGTTGAAATACCATTTCTATTTCTGTTTCTGCAACCAAGATCTGACTATTTAAAATCTGCACTCTTACCCGACTATAGATTTCAATTCTTCTGCATCTGTCAGTGCATCCTCTATTCTCTCATCTCCCTCTTCCTGCTTCTCCTTGTCTTGCCAGATAGAGAGCTGATCGTCATTAGCAACGAGGAGCGTTCCTTGCATGATCTCATTCATGATCATGGCGGCTTGTTTCACGTAGGACGGAGACTCGTGGAAATAGGACAAGAAGTTATCAATCAGGAGCGAAACGTTCCCTGCAAACATGATCCACACAGTCAAAATATTAATGATGACAGCATTGAGTGCATCCTGTATTAAACAAAAGGGCCCTATCTTATAAAGAATTGATATTAATAGCAACTTATTTGTGATTGATATCAATTGCAACTATGTACATAAGAGATAGGGGACCGCAAACTTGCGATTGATGAGGGGACTTGCCAATTGATTTTGATCAATTACAAGTCTTTATAAGACAGAGCCCAGCTTAGCTCAAAATCTGCATAGCACGGGACGTGGGCACCTTACTTGCGCTCTGCCACCAGAAACAGATTTCTAATTTAAAATCTTTTGTCGCATCTGGCTACTTATGATGAGTGTGAGGGACAACTCTGATTTCCCAAGAACTGACATTTTCTCTCCGTCTGTGGGATTGAGAGCTTTTGCTGCTAAGAGGTATTATTCACTATGAAAGTATCAAAGCACAGCATTAATCAACTAATACCATAAAGATTGAGATATACACACAAACAAGCAAACGTGACTCACCATATTGCCCTAGTAGTTGGCACAGTTGAAAGATCCCTTCATAGATCTTGTGGTCTGAGAAATGTTTGAAGTCTCTTGAATGACCTCTATTGACCTCACCATCACTCAGGTCTTCAAGAAAACAAAGCAACAAACAAAATCAAACATATAAAGACATTTGGATGTATTTAAAAAACTGAATTTCAAATGCATACTGTGTATCATCTTGAGAGAATCAGAAGGCATTAACTCATATAAATTAAAATAGAGTTGATATAATTATTCATACATTTGTTTTTATTGGTATATATTAACTAAAGCAGCACAGACTAAAGGGGTCAGGTTTACAACTAGAATAATACAATTTATTCCATAATATTATAAACATCAAATGTAAAAAAAGAAATAAAGTATTAACAAAATGAAAAATAAGAATTATACATTGCATCAGTAGGCCTACACCTGCTCGATTTCAATTTATCAATTCAATTTATTAATTTCATAAAATAAAAAGATACAATGTATATTAAAAAAGCGCCTGGGAAATCGCTGTAAAAAGCAAATGGCTTGCAGTAAAACACAACAATTCCCCTTTAAATCGTAGTAATGAAAACAACGAATATGGAATAGGAAACTTAAATCATTGGACCATTACAAACAATTAACAAATAAATAAATAAAGAAACATAAAAAAAATGAATATTGTCAACATTTAGTTTTTGTCATTCAAAACTTTGCAAAGCTGTGTACTGCTTCTCTTCATCTTATATTTCTAATTTGTGCTTCAAGTATCCATTTTTTGTATTCTTAATCAAATGTGGGAATAGAACTTAGATCAACATGCATGCTCCTTTGGATGACAGTACTACATGTACCTGTTTGAGGTGCTGGTGTAGTTTCTAAGATTCCTGTATCCCTTATGCTGAGCTCTAGAGCTTGTAGTAAAGCTATGGATAATCTCTTCAAGTGAGGGGCTGAGTTGAGAAGTGAATTCAGTCTGTGACCTGTGAAAGATAAAGAATTTTGTTATTATCATTATTATTTATTTATTTATTGCAACTGCTAGGAATAATAAATCGTATTCCTATTAATAATTACTACTACTAGATGAAATAAACAGTTAATATTTACAAACTTTGGACTTTACTTCATCTCAGACAAGAGAGTGCAGTCACCATGAGACTTGATCTAGAATCATCTAAATTCTATTATTGTGTATCTATATTATACAAATACTGGACTGTTTAAATGCCGCTACATGTATCTTCTCTCCGTAATTGTAAATGTAAAAAAAGCATGTATAAGCTCGTTAGTAACAACCAGGGGACCCACGGCTTTAAGTTCTCTCTGAGGGACTTGGTTATGAGGATTAATTCCTTACCAAAGAGCATGAGTGCATCGATTTGGTTTCGAACCCGGGACATCTTGGTTACAAGACCACTGCTCTACCACTGAGCCATGGTGCCTCCTGGAAATAGTCTTTCTGATATGCCTTCACCTTATATACAAGCGGTACATGTATGATCACAGTCATGCAGATTAATCACTTGACTGGGAATGTAATGATCGTGGGTTCAAGCCCCGGCACGACACCTTTAAGCATGGCATTTTATCTGCATCTACATCGTTCCTCTTCACCCAGGAGTTAAATGAGTATGTGCAGCAGGATAGTTAATTTAATTATAAGAAACATTCTTTATTACTTTTAGAATTAATTGTAAAATACTGTTCCTTACACAACACAATAATAATGTGCTTACCGAGCAGCTTGACGTATCCAACCATAGCAGTTACAGTGGACAATTTCTCCTCATCATCTGTGGGCATTACAGGCAATCATGAAAAGAGAAGGGGGCATTAAAACAAATTTTATTACATATTTTATTTAATAATGTCCTATAAACATGCTGATAGTAGGGATTTATGTAGACACAATGATAATTTTCTGAAACTTGGTTTCCTGATCTCTTCCTTCAAATCTTCATTGTATCTGTTGTCCCATGGTCTTCTTTTATATCTCATCAATATCATTATATGTCCATTACTATAACATATTCTCATACACTGTGTATGTACATGTGTGTCTTACAAAAGATATATGTACAAGACGGTGAGTTGTCAGTTTGTCTACAACCAGTTCTTCTACTACTATTCACATGGTCTAATAATCATTTGATGAATATGATATGATTAAATAATTATTAGACCATATGGATAGCAGACAAAATGAGCATTAGACATACTGGAAATTAAGCCGATTAGAAATTATACTAAATGAGCAATAGACCAAATGGGAAGTAAAGGTAGACTTATTCGAGATTAGACCAAATGACTATTAGCCTAAATGATCAATGGACCAAACAATAAGCATACAAAATGATTATTAGACCATGTGGATAACAGAGGGTTGGGTGTAGACCATATGGGAATAGACCAATTTGGTAGTAGACGAACCGGTTGGAGACCAAACTGCAATGAACCTACAAGCAATAAAAACCATTTTTGAAATTGAAATTGAAATTGAAATTAAAATTGAAATTGAAATTGAAATTGAAATTGAAATTGAAATTGAAATTGAAATTTGAAATTGAAATTGAAGCTTAGAGTATTTTATTACATTTACTGTCAATTTATACTAACTGTAAGCTGTCTTTTCCTTACCTGCTGTTCTGATAATTCTTGGTAGCATAGTGACAAGTTTATGAAGGTTATCCTTCATGTTGAAACCAATTATGATTTGATTAAATTTGATAACATTTAATTACATTTAATTACATTTGATTACATTTACTATCAGTTATATTAAAGGTAAAGACCAGTTATGGTCATGCGATTGCATTGTGAAAGAAACGTGGTGGAATCGATCAAAAAAGGTTGATCATCTAGCATCTAGCATCTGCAAGGTTCTGGAATCATCAAAATGATAAGAAATTTGGCCCATTCTTCGTAAAGTCACAAGCACTATACACAGAAAGATGTATATGGGACTACCCTATATCTCTCACAGACCATGAGAGAAACAAATTTACCAAATATATGAATTAGTAGGCGGTATCCCAGCAAATTTTTTATCATGATGTATTAGTCAAAACATATTCTTTCACATGATTGGTAATGAGAGCTTCCATTTCAATTTTTGAAATTGGGGCGTTTCCAATACTGGTCTTTACCTTTAAACATAAGCCATCTTGTTCTTACCTGCTGTTCTGATGATCCTTGGTAGTAGAGTGACAAGTCTATGAAGATTATCCTCCAATAGCTCACTCAGCATTCTACTCTCTACGGTCAAGGACTCTTTAGCCATTGACCTCAGGATGGCTTGACTAGGGCTGGACACCTGGTCATATCTGTCCTGGGCCAGACTGACCAAGACCTCCAACACCTTGCCCATGCTGCAGGACATGGAGCTAGAAAAACGGGCAGAAGTGAGACACATGGGGTGGAAAACTGCAATCATGGCATTATCATTTTTACTGGTAAAATAACAAATATTGACAATATATGATACAAACAGTAAAGTGCTTTCATAATTAGTGATGCAGAAATAAGTGGCTTTTACAGCAAACAGCAAAAAGTCTTGTTAAAAATGGAAATTGCTTTTTTTTTTTGTGTATTGCATGTCTTTTTAGCAGACGGCGCTGAGCAGAGCAGAGGAGCTCTTCTTTGGCTTTAATTACGAACTTGCTTAATGTTACACAATATCATTTCAACTTCTGACAAACAAAAAGGTAAAAGTCAGGGGATCTGAGATTCCAGCATTTGATAGGTGAAGATATATATGCCAGCAATTTTTTCGTGATTTAGATACTGCAATTTCCTAGAAGCTTATTTGGTTTGATATTTTAAAGCAGGATTGCTTTGATAATCATAAAAACAAGAAACTAATATTATTTAAAGATGAAGTTGAGTTCTGGTCATGCGATTGCATTGTGAAATAAACGGTGTGGAATCGACCAGAAAAGGTTGATCATCTAGCATATAAGAATTTGTGTGTATTGCAAGGTTCTGGAATCATCAAAATGATAAGAAATTTGGCCAAGTCTTGGTAAAGTTACAAACACTGTACACAGAAAGATGTATATGGGACTACACGAACACGTGGCGTAAAAATCCCACCCCCGAGTTTTACGATGTTACATGACATATTTAGAATATGAAGGCATTTGAAGAGCCATGCTTTTCAGGGAACATGTCCTATCTGATGTTCTTCCACACTTGCATAATAAGAATGATAACGCTCACAAATTATTTTTCACCACTTCCCAGAACTCAACCTTATCTTTAACACTTCAACTGGGAAGAAAGAATACAACATTTTCAGACATAAATTGATGCACAATGTGTTTACACACAGTTTGGTATTTAGCACCACTTTCATGAAATATGGACATGTAATTTTCAGTTTGATACCTATAACAAGGAGCTATACTGGGCAGTGTGGAAATGTGCCAGTTCATAACATCATACTCATAATCGAGAGAAGAAATGGAGATTGTATATCAAAACAATTTCTGCTGCCCATGGTGGAATTTTAAGTAAATACTTTGGTGCTCCTACACTGACCATATCTATGAAAGTCACAAGGATTCAATCAAAGGTTTTACTCAAGATAGGCACAGTTTCTAATATCTACATTTAATCCTTCACTCACTTACCTCTTTGTTCTGATGATGAGAGTTTCTGCAAACCTAACCAAAGCAAGCCTCACTCTCCAGCTTCTACTGGTTACCATGGTAACAATCTTAGCGATGAGAATGTCCAGTTTGGATGCGGTTCCAGTGAGCCAGGTCTCCGTCTTGGAAACTAGGAGCGACTCCTCACCATCTTGGAGAAGCTGTCTCTTTGTCACATCCTCAGATTTTTTAGTTTTGTCCAGAGGGAGGAGTCTGTCATCCATCACCATGGAGATGTGTTTGGACCAGCATTCAATTGCATTCTGGGTAAAATAATTTATAAAAAATTAAGGACCATCCATTACAGTTGTATTCAATTGAAACTGTTAAATAAAAAGCAAATGAATAAGTAAGTAATAATTAAATAAATATAAACATTATTAACAAATAAAAGAATGAATAAATAAATAAATAAATAAATGAATGAAATAATTAATTAAATAAATAAACAAGTAACAACAATAATGTTAATTTGGTGCAATATACAACCTCAAGAGTTTATTGCATTTTTCCCTTGAAATTCTCAAAATCCATTTAGGATGATATCATACAAAATATATCTTGATTTGGTACAAGAGGGCTTTTATGAAGTTAGACTGCTTAAATTTATTAAGTGTTCTACATCAGACACTCCATAGAGCAAAAATTTCATAAAAAAGTTATGAAGAATCATGAGACAAACACACACAAATATATATAAAGCACTGAGTTATGTTTTGGGGGATAATTTTGTAATTAATTAATTAAGAAATACAACATATGTTGAAAATATCATATCAAAAATAATTTCAACAGGTACGTATATTTGCATCAAAATGTGTGTTTTACTCACCATTGTCACATTCTTGCATGTGAAAAAAGAAAGAAAAGATTAATCAGCATCAAGTGAAAAAATATATAACCATAAATTACATTTTCTATATTTAAAATGACTACTTGGTTTCCTCCTCTGTAATAATAAGCATATGTCACCTATTCAAAGACAACTGATTTACAATGTAATGCTAAAGACTTTTCTTGTCCACATTCAAATGCATAGCACACAATATACTACTTGCAGGGGGATCTGAAGTACATTTATAAATAATTCTTTAATAATAAAGCAGAATATTTGAGTAATTCAAAATGTTGGAAGCACTGAACAATGTGAAGATTTTAGAAGTTTTTTGTAGACTGATGTTTTTCTGGTCTGGAGTTTGTTGTATTAGTTTTTGTATTATTTATAATCCTTGCCTACAGGTCTTTCTTTGATAATTATGTTGAGTTGTATATCTGATTGACAGATAAAGGCTACTCTTTTAGAAAAAAAAGACTTAGAATATCAAGCAAAGCAAAATCCGATTGTGTCTTGCCCATTTGTGACAAACTAATACATAAATGTAGCCTAAGAACATCCCTGATCAGTTTGGTTGCACTAGGGATAATGTATACAAAGTTACTATTTATAAGAGGTGTTCTTCCTTTTTTTTTGGGGGGGGGGGTGTAGAGTAAATCTAAATTGACCTTTGACCTTAGGAAATGACCTGTAACATCACCCCGGCCCACCCACTCAGTGTTATTCAGGGTACGCATATGCTCGTTCCCTCTTTTTGAAAGCACCCCCTATCTGAGGACTGCCAATTTCCGAACCCCCCTTTTGCGAGCTTTTTGCGGGCTTTTCCTGCCTTGGAGACCCCCCTAAATTCAGAAAAATGCTCAATGTACCCCCCTAAATTCTGAATAATTTCTCAGGAGTCCAAAGAGATGAGAGAAAAAAATAAAAAATACCCCCTTTTTAAAGAAATCTCCGGGTGAAAGTCAAATACACCCCTTTTTTTTACAATTCTCTGGCCTTTTGCAGGAAAAGTACCCCTTTACCGGACATTTTGGCAACACGCATGCGGTCATTCCGACCCCGGAGTGGGGGGGCCGGGAACATCACTAGGACATGAAGGTCCTCTGAAGCATCTCTCACCCAAGTTTGGTCACAATAATATTAACGGTTGCCAAGTCATTTGTTAAATAGAGAGTCTTGCAGGTAAACTCAGGCATAGTTACTTCTTTCTTAGCATCTAGTCCAATGAATGACCAAATGAAATATCTACAAAATGCTTGTTACTCCTGTATGGTCTACCCCCAACTATCTACATGGTCTGATAATCATTTCATCTACTTATCATTTGGTCTAATGACCATTTATGTTACTAGTTATTTGGTCTAACTTCCATTTGGTTTAATCTCCAATAAGTCTAATTCCCAGTTTGTCTATTGTCTATTTGTCTATTGTTTACTATCCATATGGTCTAATAATCATTTAATAATAAATAATAGACCTTATGGATGGTAGACATAATGGGCATTAAACAGACTGGGAATTAGACTAAATGAGCAATAAACCAAATGGATAGTAGATCAATTGGAGATTAGACCAAATGACTATAAGACAAAGTGGATGGTTGACAGGCTGGGTGTAGACCATATGGGAATAGACTAATTGGGTAGTAAACGAACTGGTTGTAGACCAAACTGCAATTCACCAACATATCCATCACTCTTACCTGCCCTTGTCTTGGGTTGGCTAAGATGACTCTGCTGATCGTCACTGAGAGGCCAGGTAGGAATGATGCAAAACATTTAGAAGCTTCTCCGTATACTATCGACTCATCATCATCTTCAACAAACAAAAACATACCATTTAAAGAATGAGAATTCAAATGTAAATGAAAATCAAGTCAAAATTTGTAATTAAAATCTCAGCATACAGGTAATAATTTGCATTTTCTTGGGGGAATTTTTGTTGACTCTTGATGAACAATTACACTAATCTTCAGTGCTACAAGCATTTTATTTGATGTTCTTACCATTTTTTCTTTCAATTTGTACTTATGGCTAGTTCCTTTTATTGACTCTTTTATAGTTTGTTTAAATCATGATAAAATACAATAATGCAGTTTAAATGACATCAAAAAGCATTTTTGAACAATTAAGATCTTAGTTGTGATTTCAAAGCAGTCATTGTCATTGATTAGTAGACTGTTCCCACTGTATTTATGGATGATTGAGTGTTTGGTGGAGTGGAAAACTGACAAACTTGCAATAATCTGTATGAAACTCAAACTCAATAATAATCTCACAATCAGTCGAGTAAAACACATTCCATCTTCCAATCAAAAGGTGAAAACAACACATTGCACTTCCTCAATTACCACATCAACATTCAACATCATTAAAAACAAGTTTAATTTTCTAAAGAATAGAAGAATACCCCACTGGCATTCATACATGACTGCCTCAATATCATTACCAAACACAATACATCCTCCAGACAAAGGCAGAGTTCACTGTTGACGATGCATTCTGCAACATTTCACTTGGCCCCATATTCAACTCTATTGCACATTAACCATTACAAATAGGGCATCACTGTAAAGTGAAATAAAGTGGCTTTTCAATGATACTAAATTCAAGTATTGTAATATCATATCAAAAGAGATAGCAATTAATGCTCAAACTTGATCTGCAGAATTTCTTTTTTTGAGGAGTTTATATAATCTTGATTTTTGTTTACCTGGCACAAAGCTGGTAAGACATTTCAGGGCAGCGACTTGAAGTTCTTTCATTTTCTCAGCCTCAGACAGATTCAGAAGTAGAGAGATACAATGCCCTAGCATGGGCAAAGACTGGGGAGACATCAGCTGTAAAATAATCCTGTAAAACATTTGTTTACATAGCAGAAAAAATTATATATTTCAATTAATTAAAAATTTAATCTTAAATGCCCTTACCACTCTCTTTCTTCTTTATAAATCAACAATAGTTTTCTGTTGTCTTTTTAGCTTATTGAAGTTAAGATTTTACATTGAAAAATTAATGACACAATTGATAGCTAGATGACAGAGATGATAATCATTGAAAATAATTCCTACTACAAATGCACTTTCTGACATTTATTATTACAACTAGCATTGATGCAAACAAAATAAACTATAAAAGGTATAAAGTTCTAACAAGAAAAAATTATTTATAATTGTGCTGCAATAATCAAGATTATTCATTGCAGTATATCTTCTTTTAAGAAACTTGATGATAATTATTTTGCTTGTTTTGTTTGTTGTATTCATTAATGCTATACTCACACTGGGTCAGCAGATTTCAGCATAGCTGTCAATGCCTTCACTACCGCTAGCTTCAACTCTTCAGATCCGTCAGATGCTAAGATACAATGAGACATTTCAACTCATCTTCTTGTAAAGCAAATTATACTTTCTGCCTTTCTGGCTCACTTTCCACAATGTTTTGCCTTCAATACTCACATTCAGGGAACATAATCAAACGAAGCATTCATCATAAACAAGTTACACTCAGTTCATGACCAAAAAAATTCTTTGGGTGATATGTTCAGCACATGAAATATTGCTTGTGTTACACAGGATAGGTAAATGATTTCAGCGCCCCATGTTATAAATATTTGTGATTGATCCAAATCAAATGCAATTCCTCCAATCAATCATAAGTTTACAATATTGAGTCTTCTATAACCTATCTCTTATGTACATAGTTGCAATTGATATCAATCGAAAATAAGTTGTGATTGATTGCAACTGTTTATTAGACAGAGCTCAATCGTAAATATTCAGAGAAGAGATGTACACATATTTAGTATCCTGCTTATCACAAAAAGAGCCTCTTCCAACTGATAGTAATACAGCGTGGTGAAATGGTCTACGACACATACCTTGCCCATTGGACTGTTTGGAGCTGATTGTAACACACAGAGCTGTGAAAATATCAGAGAACATTTCCCAGTTGACGAGAGTTGTCTTCTCCAGTATGCTTTGCATGCACAGTACACCAGCTTCACACACTCCAGTTGAACTAAAAGAACAGAATGTGGAAAAACAGAAGCACTTGTTAAATTTCATTTATATGACATGGGAGGAGAAGTTGTCAGTTGACGGCCAGGGAGGTGTTAAATTACCTACACCATACTTTTGGATAACCTGGGCCCTGTTTCATAACAAATGCTAAATTTCTATGATAAATATGCTCTCAGTCAATCAAATGCCACAATTTCAGTAGCTTATACCAGTTATTATAACTTGTTATTGATAACAATTAAGTTTTATGAAACAGGGCCCAGATTTAGGAACTTTTTGAAAGTACACTAGTATTTAATTTCAGGTATCTCAGTACTTAAGATGAAAACTAAGTATTTAAAATATATATGATAAATACAAACAAAGATTACATAGCTGCATTGTTTAAAATTATATCGAAGAATCCGATAAATTCACCAAAATTGACAAGAAACAAAAACTTACATTAGAAATGAAGAAGAACCATTGAACATATTGTACTTCAAATTGATAGTAAACATGAACAAATTTACAATTTATATATAAAGTAAAGAGAGAAAGGGAGAAATGAAAAGGGACAAGCTGGGGAAGACTACAGAGAGAAAATAGAGTAAAGGAAAAAATATAAGAGTGTCATTTCATTCGCTCATAGTTTACATTTTCTTTCTAGTACAGGCATTAGCGTTGAATTATTGGGCACTTATATAATTGTGAATGATTATATAATTGCGAATACATGTAATAAATACATCATACATTACAGTGAAATACATAAAAATGATTTAGCTTGAAACTCTGCAAATATTTGAATAATCATTAGGAGGATTTACCAACGGCAAAAAAACACACAAACCATCAAACAAGTTTGTTAAAATGAGATAAGTAAACTTTGCAATTAATTTGAGATAACTAACTCACAGTTTTGATTGGTTTTTAAGGAGGATCCTAAGAGGGAAGAGGACATATTGTTGCAATGCCTGAAGACTCTCTGTATCTAGATCCTGGATGCTCCTCGCTACAGCCTGGATGCTCTCCAAGGTCTGCTCCTTCATCAACACCACACATAATGGTCTGAGACACTCAAAGGCACTGCTCTCTGACATGATGGGCAGGCAGCCGGCAGCCACCTGTGGTTCAGGAGAAAAACAAGAAAGAAATTGCATGAACGCATATGTAGAACCCTCACATTGTGTGTCCGGACAGGTTGTTTATCCCGACACTGTCAGACGGTCAATTTCAAAACAGTAATTAGAAGAGAGTTACATGCACTATTTAATGAATCTTTTATGAGTTATATTGGATAACATGATATCATATTATCATAATAACATAATTTTGTCTTCATGATGGTTAAAGATTATTGAGAAGTGCAGAAGAACCCTCAGCTAAAATAGCCCAGGTAATGAATGAAATGAAATCCGAGAGAAGAGAAAAAGATTAAAAAATCAAAGTCACACCAGCAACATACAGATTACAGCGTCAGTAAGTTGAAAAGATTGTATTTTAGGTGTCATCAATCAATTGTCACTAAAGCAACGAAAAAAATACACGGTGGCGACGGGCGATTCGCCCCCTAAACCTCTGAAATCGCCACGGTAAAAATCAAGACGAGGGCGAAAAAAAATCAATATATCTTGAAAAATCGCCCCCGCCATAAATTGATATTCCCTATGAATTAATAAACCAATTTATTGATGTGTCTGAGTGAAATCTCCGTTCCAACTACCAACTCCAAAACTAGAAACTTCCATCAACATTTTAAAAGTTTTGTGAGTTGCAGCGGATCGGCGGTCGTACCTACTGTAGTTAGATCTACAGCGGTATCCGCCTGCCTGCGCCTAAGCTCCCGGCGGCCGGACAGGCCACCGGCCCCGATGTAGTTTCGTGCACAGCATGAATGCATACGCAGTTCGCACACGTTCACAATACACAGAAACGTACTACTCAGCTCCAGCGCGCGCCCGCATGCTCCTTGTATGAAGCAAATAAGTATTTGCGAGTGACGAGAGCTCAACTGCTAGCGACCAAATTGGTACGTAATATGTTTATTTAGTCTTTTTTCTGGCCCTAATTTTTATCATGGACAATGCAATCCCATTAAAAAAAATGTTATTCCGTCTAAAATTGTGTTATTTATAAGTTAAAACCATTAAATGCGAGTATATTTTTACTGTTGTCCCACATACTGATATATTTGTAATAACGAAACGTGCAAAATCAATGCCGCATTTTTTCCTGTAAAATCGGTATAAAGCAAGTTTCGTACACAGAAATTGAATTTTGTTATAAAAAAACCGTAAATAAATATATAAAGGATGTTCCTACTCCTCAGAATCTTTCTTACAACTGTTTAATTAAATTAAATTATTTATATACGATCGATGCCAGGCCAATTGTCATGAGTGATGATGACATCAATTTCTGTCTACGAAATGAAACTAGCTTTGGCTTGGCCTTTAGAATTAGAGTCTATAAAAAAAAAATAAGGCCATGATTTTGCATGTTTCGGCATAACAAATAGACCCTACATCGGTATGTGGGACAACAGTAAAAATATTTACTCACATTTAATGGTTATAAATGGTCTAAATAACACAATTTTAGAGGGAGTTGGTCTACATTTTGTTTTAATGGGATTGCATTGTCCATGATAACAATTAAATTTGGGACAGAAAAAAGACTAAATAACATATTACCTACCAATTTGGTTGCTAGTAGTATGATGGCTAAGGAAAAACACAACTTATTGTTACAGCTTACAATATGGCTTTAAGGAAGTAGCCCCTTGGTTTTTTTTAGGCAATGGGGAAAAGTAGCCCCCATAAAAAAATTAATTCCTAGCCCGCGTGTCAGTGATAATATTTTCTTAGGATATGAAAAACGAACAGTTAAACAAAACACTCCTTTTGACAAGTTTTAGTTACATGTATATGTAAATCATAAAGCCACACGTTTAACACAAAGTGAATAAATCATGGGTATCTGAATGTCTGCAATACTCTACATGACATATGTATGCTACAATTGTATCTATATTTGCCTTTGCTTGGAATTTAATTAGGTAAAACCGCGTTTAAAAAAAATATAACCTTTCAAAAAAAAAAGCCCCCCTGAGCTCCAAAATAGCCACCGCAAAATAATTAAGGGGGGCTATTTTTTTAAGGGAAAATCTGAAAAGAGCCCTCGTAAAAAAAAAAGTAATTTTTTGGTTGCACTAAAGTACCGATTTTGAGTGAACTCAGCTCAGTTGAGTTTTGTACAGTGGTGTTTGAAATGTTGAGAATCAATAGAACAGTTTTTAATACACAGCCAGGATTATGGGATAGTAATGCAGCTATGTCATGTGTGAGTTTAGATCGAGATTCTAACTTTAGAATCCGACAGTTGCGACTTACGTGGATTTCAGGTTGTGGGACTACACACTAGTCCCCACACTTGGAAAAACTGTCCAGGAAAACGTATATTAAACAATTAAATTGATATAAAAGTAGTACTAAGTAAATTTTAAGTTCATCTATAAACGAATTTTCTGTTGATAAAAGTTTAGACCCACTTGGTTCACACAAAAAACATAATAAACTGGGCGGTTTTACTCACAGAGGATCCTGAAAATCGTGATAAGACGGTGTCTTCAAGGAGACAAATAATAAAGCAAGGGTCTGCACCAACATAACTGTAAAATACGTATTTTGCAGTGCTGTGTTCTCGTTTGGGTCCGGAATATTCGTGGCAGATATAAGTTCAAGTTCAAGTTCAAGTTCAAGTTTATTTGTCTTCCAGAAAACACATGTGACAAAATATAATAGAGTATAATCATAACAGTACAATAACAGTGCAATGTAGAATAGAGAAAGACGAGGAGACCTTGGTTGAAGCACAGCTTGTTAAGTTAAGGCCCCCTCATATGATGTGACAAAGATAACTGATTCATGAATACAACAACAAATATGGAATATATAAAACTATTTACAAAATACTCTCAGAGAACAACTACCCAACGATGCATCGACCACAGCATGGATGACTACAACAAGTATACCTGAAGATGCGCACATCCCCATCACACCGGGTGAGCTAACAAACTCACAGTGTGTGTGAAAAAAATGTATTATATGAGCAAAAATCAACCCACCCATGGGAGGGCGATCTAATATGGACAAACCCAAGCTGACACCAAGCGAAGATGGTCCGGATATTATTATATTAATAGTAAAGGAATAAAAGGGATTGTATTGTATCGGCCGAGTGTAACAAGAAAAAAAAATTGTTTGGGCTGAGCCAAAAAGAAATGACATGTATATTTCGCTTTCTAAAGAGAAAGTGGACATATTGAGGCAATGAAATATAATCATATAAATCAATTTACAATACAATGTAACAATTCAATATTCTGTTTGTAAACATATATATCATATCAATTAATTTACAATGCAGTGTAGCAAAACAGAAGGAAAATTATATACAGCAGAAAAATCTTTTTTCTTCACGTAATAATACATCCGAAGATAGTAGATATATAAAACGTTATATAGCAATTTTCTAAATAAATTATAACTCATGTAATATACAAAATACATGTTGGTTTATGAGGTACATGGAATGCAATAGGTAGTCATTCGGCCTAAAATAAATGACGTAATAGTACTTAAATATGCGACCTACTGTAAAATTGAACCAAAAACACAAGATTGTAAATTTTTGCCTTGTCTATATAGGTTGATCATTGTCGTTTAATACATTAGGTCGAGTATATAAAAGAAATATAGAGAACATAAAAAGGCTGTATACTTATCTCTTATCAAATTGTATAAGTTTGTATTTATATTTTGTTTTACTTTGTTGTTACATAATAAAAAATAGTCTAAAAGTTACCCCTTACTGCAATAATGTTTTTGATGAACGAAGAGAAAAGATCTTTTATATCTTTATTGTCTAATCTCATTATATATATATGAATTTTTCTAGACATTCCAAGTTACTAAAATTTTCTTCCAAATCGCTGATTTTTCAAGAAAATCTACTCGTAATCTTTATATTTATCCAATTTTATAACTAGGAAATGTGATAAATATAAAGATGTACGAGTAGATTCATCATTGAAGTCTTCACAGAATCGTAAACTAGGCCAGGAGGCATTTTTTCTGGTCTTTTATATCTTCCCGTTTTTATGGGTAAGTTGTGTGCGCTCAGTCGTAGTTTTGTGATATTTTTTCTTAAATTTATATTTGGTATATGAGATAAATACTTTTCTCTCTTTCTCTCTCTCTCTCTCTCTCTCTCTCTCTCCCTCTATCTTCTCCCTCCCCTTCAGAAAGCATATATACATTCTAAAGTGTATACACTTTAGAATGTGTAAAATATTATTTCTTCATCAAAATACCTAGCGAGATGTATCTTGCATTCCTGCAGTTGACGTTTATTTTTATTCCAAAATATAATTTTGATAAGACTAAAATACTCTGGCGGCACAATGTACTAGATGGTAAACATTTAAAGGGCAGATTGTCTAGGCCGGGAAGGGATTTTACCCCTTGCTCCTTTAAAGTAGGAAAAGTTTGTATTTTGAAGTGAAACGGAGGGAAAGGAGCATTAATTCTTTTTTTACTCAACCATACATCCCCCCCTTGAGCAACAAAAAAAGGGGGGTTTATTGAGGGGGTTTAACCCCCAAAACATTCCCCCATCTCTCTCTTCTCTTTCATTCCACCTTTCTTTTGTTTCCTTTTTCTCTTCCTTTTTTCCTTTTCTCTTTTTTTCCTTTTCTCTTTTTCTTTCTTTTCTTTCTTTTCTTTCTTTTCCTTTGTTTCCTCTCCTTCCTCTTTTTCTATCTTCTCTTTCTTTCTTCTTTTCTCTTTCCTTTCTTTTCCTTGTCTTTTCTTTTCTTTTCCTTTCCCTAGGCTCATTTCCCCCCTCCCCCTTTCCTCACTTTTCCCCGACAGCAGCGCAATTTTACCGCCAATATCCTGACAGGTGGGGGGGGGGAACGTTGCACCCCCATGACCCCCTTTAACGCTGACCCAGGTTGTTATCCCGTATTCTTTTAAAAGAAATTCAATTCCTCATGTTCTCGCACCTCTCTTCGTTCGTTGTTTAATTCTCTTCATTTTGTTCCCTTTTCACAAAAATTCTCTCTTTCCCCCTTTTATCTCTTTTTGTGTTCTTCTTGTGTTTTTTTTTTTTTGGGGGGGGGGGGGGGGGAGCTACACACCTGGCAAGAGGGACCTCATAAAATGCACACTGCAAAATTGCGTGCCCCCCCCCCCCCCCACCCCCCATTTCCCGGTAAAAAAACACCTTCTTATAATATCATTCCCCTTCTTTCTTTTCCCCTCTCATTATTCTCCTTTTTCCCTTTTTTCTCCTCCGTCTTTCCCTCTTTCTTCCTTTTCCGCCTTTTCTCTCCTTTCTCTTCCCCTTTCTTCCTTTCCTCCTTCACAGTTTTCTCCTCTCCCCTTTTCTCTCCTCCCTCTTTTCTTCTTCATTCTCTCTTCCCTGTTCTTTCTTTCCCCCTCTTTTTTCTCTTTTCCCCTTTCCCCCTTATTCTTTTTTTTTTTTACCGGGGGCACGTACACCTGAGTCCCCCCCCCCCCCCCCCCCCCCCCCCCCCCCCGCTGAATCCGGCACTGATAACCTCTGAGCTGTCCTAGATCCTTATACCTCGCACGGCCGGGCGCGCCCGCCCGCCTAACACAAATACTGTAGCATAATAGGCGCCTATGTTCGACTGTATACGCACGCTCTCTATATACCGCGCGTACGAGAGCGATGTGCATATCATTAGCGTACAATGCAGCAATCACTCTCGATCTCTAAAGTACACAGCAAACCTTTGATATAATAATTTGGGGTGAGAGACCCGGATATATTGCGGAGTTGGTAGATAAATCTTATTTAACCGAGATTTGACAATGGCGTCTAGAAGGTAATTAAACTATTGTTATTTTCTTCCTAAGCGATTTCAGTAATATCTTTCAAATGTCATGAATGTGTGATTTTTGGTTGTGCCTGGTCGAGATGATTGTTGAGTTGAGTCAAAAAGACTACAATCCTGTACAGTTTACAATGCCAATGAATGTGCACTTCCCGGCCTGAGCTGCCGGGTTGGCTATGAAGTCGTACTGTAGTAGATAGAAGTGTGAGTATTCCTGGCTGTATGAATTTTGAAAATATAAACAAATGTGATATTCGATCTATGAATATGATATCTCATGTTCTTCACAAATTCATTTATTTCAATTATTACCAAATGGACGGCAAAGTTTTTTTACTACAATTTGGTTCAACTAGAGTAAAGTCTAGAAACAGTAGACGTTAGAGTCTTACTCTTAGTCTTAGACATTTAATTTATCATCAATCATTCAATGAGGATTCCAGGCGTATTACGATCTAAAAATTTGATGTCCGATCGGCGTGCACACTGGAACTGAAAAAGTCATTAAAACAACAAGACCTTTACTTCTCGCACTGGGTTTACAGCTGATTTATACAAAAATGTGATCCATCAAAAAAAAGGTAAAATCATAATTTGCAAGGCAAGATATCGTATAATCAGGATATACATGTAGGTAATTGGGTGCTTGTTCAGAAACCTATCCAAAATTTGACCCGTAACTCCGGCATGAAGATACCCTACTCAAACTTACCCAAAATGAAGTAAATAGTCTACATTAAATGTCCAAATAAAGGTCATGAGTTAAAAGTTGTTATGTTTATTACCGGTTTCGTGTCAATTTTCTTGTTATTTTTGGAGTATTTTTCAGATAAATGTTGATATTAGTATACACTTTTTCACAGGTTTCACGGCAAACCGCTGCACAATACTATACCAATGGTGGGTTGCGGGCGGGCGTGCGCGCGCCTGAGTGAAGTTATCTACCGTAATGTCTCAGATCCTCATTACAGTAGATAACTTCACACAGGCGCACAGTGCTCAGTTAGCAACTGTAATCTTAGTTTCCTCTAGAAAATGCAATATTTATATGTACAGTAGTTCCAGTTATTGTGATTAATTAGTATTTTAAAACAAAATCTATCCCAAGGGAATCTCAATTAGGATGTACGCTGTACACTGTAGGCCTGGGTATTCAACATTGACAATGACATGCTTGACCAAAATAGTTGAAGCTATTCAGCCTATACTACAGTGTAGATACATTAATATGGACAAAGGCATGTGTACCTGGTAGTCAATGGTGCTCTTTTCCTTGATTTGAAAAGGGCCTTCGACATTTTACAAGATCAATTTATTTTCCATAAAAATGCCACTGTAGGCCTATGGTAATAAAGGCGTTGCTATTTAATGTTCAAAACTGTAAATCTTTATCTGTAATTTACACTTTCCAGTTTCTCTTGGAAATGTTTTTTTTTCCAGATGGATTTTACTTTTTATTTCTCTCATTGGTTTGGTTTTAAATTCCTTTTTACTTTTTTAAAATACTTTGTTGTTCAATATTTCTATTTTCATTTCTTGTGAATATCACATATTCTCATTTACTACCTGTATTAGACTGCTTTGTACATGTCCATGTATGTGTGTTCTATGATATGCTATATATAATTTATTTTAAACTGAATCTTAGGGGTGTTTTTTCTTTTCTTCATTGTTAGTCTATAATGTACATGTATGTCTATAATATTCAATTTTGTGTGCACCGGTACCTTCTTGTTTCTTATAAATATGAAATATGTTTTTGATTTATACATGTTAATGCAAGGTTCTCTAGGTCCAGAAATTGACTTGACATGAGTCTATAATTTTGGAAAAACCTGAAAAAGAATAAATTGATAAATTTATAGACTAATAGTAAACAAGTAGCAAGTAAATGCTACATGTTTGTGTTAACTTTGACTATGGAAGTACACATGCCTACAGTACATTATAATCCAAGATGGCGGTCCGCATGTTTTGCCTCTTCTCATAGACCAATATTATTAATTTCAAAGTCATGAAAAGGCACTAATATCAACAAACATGGTCTACAACAACTCCAAATGACAAAATAATCCCAGCTACATGTATGACTTTTTTAAAAGCATTTGATAGCCCAAAACTTGAAAATTTTCGGCATTAAAACAAAATCTCCCAATTTTTTTCCGATCATTTTTATTGATCAACGATCAGAAATTATTATCCGATCACACCTGATCAGCTCAAGATCGGCCCCCGATCCGATGATCGGTTACAGGCCTAGTATCATGTAGGTTATGACTTCTGAAGCCCCACTTCGAAAATGCACATGTAGAGTCTATTATGAAATAAAGTGGGGAAAAGTTCATGTGTCCTTTTAGAAGCAGGAAGCATTTTTTTTCTTCCATTTCCTCCTTCTCTTGGGGGAAATTTACCTATAATTTTTTTCTCCAACTGTTTATTTGTTATTTTTATTATTATTTTTTTTTTGTTAGGGGGGGGGGAGGGACGAGGGACGAGGGAGGTTTTCTTGTTGTCTTCTTCGTTTTTCTGTTTTACACTGTAATAGCTGTTTTTTTTTTGCTTTTTGAGACAATTTGCTGTGTCATGTACACTGTACATGTTTGTGAACATGCCTTTATTAATTAGAGCGATCAAATCTTTTGTATATATTATATGCAGTAGTTCATTTTTTGTGAGTGTAAATAACCCTGACTTGCATACTGTATATGCACTCTGTGTGTTGCAGTAAAGGGCAGTGGAAGTGAATTTTATCCCACGTGTTAAATAGGAGCTTAAAACGTTGATTTAAATCGTAGTTCAAATCTCCTTTTCTCCCCTGTGTGTGAATGTGCCCAGTGTCTCATTGTGATTCAGACCAGGGGAGCCATCAAGTCTAACAATCTGCCAAAGGAAATGTCTATTTCTGTAGAGATTGTGCTCTCCTTTTTGGGGCTAAAATGGGCTTGCAGGAAACCATGGTTTCCTTTGTATGATGATGAGCTTATACAGCACATTTGTCTTTTACGACTCACCTTATTTCACTGGATGGAACCCAGCACAAAGTCCAGCAAACCTGAAATGTATTTTAATGGCATGCTATATACATATAAGTTTATTACTTTGTAATTTAGGGGAAGAGAGACTCTCTGATTTATTGACTTATGATGGTTATCGAAATGTCATGAGATACCTGTAGATATGATGAGATTAGATTTAAAAAAAATTATTGACTCTGAAGTCTGTACAGTCTGTACAGAAATATACATTCTGTAGAAATTTTCTTTGGCAGGATTTTTGTTTCATTACTTTCCTGGTCTGAATAAAGATGATATATATATATATATATTTACACACAAGAAAGAAACTGAGAAAAAAAAGAAGGAAAAGAGGCAAATTTTTAGTCTCCCTTGCTCCCCTGATCTGAATTAAAATAAGACACTGATCACTTTTACATGTAAACATGAAATAAATCTGAGAAAGAAAGGAAACAACTAGGTAATGAAAATAAATGAACTACCACTGTACATGTACGTACATAGTTTGAACATATTCATGGCTTACACCCAGTAAATTTACTGGGTGTAAGCCACAAATATGTTCAAACTATTGAAATTTCTCCCAGGAAGCATTACATTTATAAAAGTAATATTGTCCTACAGTGTATGGTGGACTAATGAATATTAATAAGTCAGAATGAATCAGGAGAGCTTGGGTATTTGTTTCTAGTTCATCGTGACTGTGCCATGGACCAGTGATGGCCTGGTGGTAGAGTCGCTGCCTGGCAAGCAGGAGATGGCAGGTTCAAATCCCGCTGGTTCCAAGATTTTTTCTGACGTGTTTTTCAATTACAGATCGATCAATCGATCTCATTTACTGGGTGTAAGCCACAAATATGTTCAAACTATTGAAATTTCTCCCAGGAAGCATTACATTTTTAAAAAAATGTATGTACATGTTCACTCATGTCAAAGTGAAGGTATTTTGGTTTGAGTATAATGTACATTTTGTATGTTGTACAGCAGGAGTCGGCTAACTCGGATTTTGGGAGAACTCTGCCTTGCTGCAAATGCGAGGCCGAATTAGCCCAGTAGGGTCGAATCGATCATGAAATACCAATGCGTCTGTGTTTGTACTCATTAATCTGCTACTCATTCACTTTATATACCTAGACTCTTTAGAAATCTAGCCGTCTGATTGGTCAAAATTGGAGTCGTGATTTTAGTTGCCCGCCTACTGGTCAAAAGTCTTTAAAAGAAACCCGCATTCCGGCCTACCGGTTAATAATCTTTTCAAAAGATGCCCGAATGCCCCGGTTAACGGGCCGCATAAATAAATTTTGATGAGATCCCATTGGTTTACGTGTTAAAAGTTTCTTTGTACGAGCGCGGATACCATACAGTGTTTTTTTTGTCTGCGATTTCCTGAACGATCCAAACATGCAGGCGACTTTCCAGCGAAGATTTACAGATTAATTTTGTTGAAAATAAGGACACGTATGTTTAATATATAGCCTCTAAACTGTATATGCACATGTATGCACTGTAGGCCTTACATGTAAACACTTCCCCTGCATGGTAGTCATTTTGGTTCTCATTTTTCTCTGTCATGAACCAAAAACAAGTAAAAAGTATTCAACCACTGCTAAGTGCTAAAGACTGAAAAAGGGTGTATGTACTGTATCTAAAGGTCTGTCTATTAATATGGGATGCACATTAATTGCAGACATGTCCGTGGAGAGCATTTCCCTTTGGGCTGGGAGCCCGCTCTGGTAATTCAATTTGTCTTTCGATTCCTCCCTCCTAGTGCACTTCACAGCCATAATTGACAGAAGATGCCTAAGACGAGGGGATGTGTACTCCAACATGTGTATCTAGTACGCAGCCTTTTACTGATGCCAGACCCACATGTACATGCACATAATACAGCGTAATATTTGGACATAAAAACTTCTTTCATGTACAAAATATACTGCACAGTATAATGTTTGAATTTAAATTAAAGGGAAATCCTACCTTAACAGACATCTACATGTACATGTGCGCTTAAAAAGAAAGCATACAAATGTGAGAAGCAGACTGGTGAAAGTTTGAATTAACTCAAACAAAAAATAAGAAAGTTAAATCCACTTGAATAGTTGCAATCACTATACATGATATACATGATTACAGTATGAGCACTTCAATTTGCCTGATTTGGTAAAATGTCAGTGTTTTAAACTTGGCAACCCTGCTGGCAATACAGAACAGAATTGTTGTACACATTGTTCTGTTTAGACATTCCTAATATGACAATGCCTGATTGTTTATGGTGTGCACTGTGTAAATGTAAGTCACTGTTCTGGTGATCGGGATATTATAATTTTGGGAGATAAACAAAAACAATCTTGAGCAACATTAAAAAGAATCATAAATCCTTCATGTACATGTAGCTTTGACCCCTTTCGTCACATTGTTAATGATACCTTGTATCTGCACTTCAAATACAATACATGTACATTTTAATATAAAGATATCATTATGAACATTGATTGATTGGATTGGTTTATTCATTAAAAAAACAACAACATGTAAGGCTGGTATTGTCTGTTTGATAAAGTAATCAGATATTTACTTAGCTATTAAACATCGTTTCATGCTAAAGGTAGACAGGGAAATTCCCCTGAGCTTCTGTCCTTATTTTGGTCACATGACACTAATAGGATAATGAGATGGTTCCCTGTGATTTTCAACATGTCATTTCCTTCTATCTTAAAGGTAGAATTGTTATGAAGATGTCACAAGCTTAAAGGAGCAGCTTTAATGAAGAAATTCCCCAGCAGTTTTACCTTTACAGCATTCATTGAATCTCCTTTACCCCCCCCCCCCCAAAACACAGAAACCAAATGCATGGAAACTGAAGAGATACTGAACAGTTATGCCAATATTTTGACAATGTACATGTACTTTCTAACTAACATTTTTTTTTTTTAATGTGATTTTTTTTAAATCTTTAGTTTACCCTTTTTCTCATTTTTTCTCAACTGTTTAAAATTGAATTGTTTGTTATAATACTTGTCCTGATTTAACAATTACTATATATGTTTTTTCTGTTTCATGAGTGAAATTGTAGATTCAAATAGAAGTTAAAATTGAAATGTTTTTTTCTTTAGCTAAATGTTTGAACTAGTTGACTAAGACACCATTATTTTGCTAATCTTGTCCTCCAGATGGTTCCACCCAAACATCTCTGGGATGGAGGCTGAACAGCTCCTTCTCAACAATGGTTTTGATGGCTGCTTTCTATGTCGACCTAGCAAGAGCAACCCGGGTGACTTCACACTATCAGTCAGGTATGGACCTTTACGTTTACTTTGATATGTCACGTACGGGACATTCTTTACATGACACTTAGACAAATATGACAGATTAGAGCTTTGAAAGAATTTATGATTAATAATTGATTATTGATAAGTTGGGTCTTACTAACCTTCATGTATATTAAAGCTTATCTGCCATAGTTTACAGGAGGGATTAGACTGCCCTGCAAGGTCACTGGACAGGTGGTTATCTCATCAACTCAGCTCTCAGTTAACATAAGAAAAAGAGGATCATGGGGGACCAATGGTCACCGATTAGTCATTGTTTGTTATATAGAGGGCGCAAGTAGCTACAAGTAGTGCAGTGGGCCTTTAACCTCATCAGTATTTTTAGTACTCTTCCTGTGGGCCTTGCATTGCTACATGTACATGAAGGTACCTGTTTTAACCCATTGTCTTCTGTGTCTTCCTGTGTAAAGTCTATGGGAATGAGAGAATTCAGTAGGCAACAGGTTTAATACCCCTGGGTCAAGAGGGACAAATGTGGGCAAAATACTTTCTCTTAATGTAAGCACCAGGCAAGGATGTAACCTGGGACGTCTTGTATGGGAATCAAGAACCTTCACCATTATACCACAATGCTCCCACTTAAATGCAACATTTATTTCATTCATTTATTTTTAAAAAGGTGCATTTGACATACAGGTGTACTTGAGAACAAATATTGGTGATGCTCATTTTATGTTGTGACATGAATGTTGCTTCTATGTTTATTCAACCATATGGGAATTTAAACAAAGAAAAGAAGAATAATAGCTCATTTCTCTATGCATGAACTCATACATACCTTCAAATAGTACTCAATCAGACCCTTTAAATGAATATATGTACAGTCTGTCTAGTGAGTTCATGAACTCCTGATCACTTACAGGCCACATTGTGCTAATTTTTTTCACCAGTCCATTAATTTTTGACATACTGTATTCAGTGAAAAAAATACACGGGGGCTCAGGGCGAATCAGCCCCCGAAATGCCTAAAAGAGCCCCCGAAAATCAGAAAAGAGCCCCTGTAAATTTGCATAGAGTTCAATGCAAAACAAATTTTAGAATGTTATTTTCATGCAGGCAAGCTTGAAAAGTAGCCCCCGAAAAATAAATATTAATTTTTTCCCTGACTGTATTTGTTTATATAAATCATGATTCATGCTTTCTTTTGTTGAAAATTAGTGGAGATTTGTTTCTTTTTGCAGACTTTAGATTTTGCTTGTCTTATATGCAGATTTCCATTAGGATATGTTGGGTACATTACTACATGTATTAAACAATAAAAACTGCTTTTTTGACACTTTGTACCACTTTGTACCATGATGCGATTTCACCACAAGCTTTTGACATACGCTTTATCAATAAATAAATCTACTAGGAGGAAGAGATTTGTGTATGAAGAACCGGCCAAACTGTTTCCTTTTGATTTTGGTCATCCAAATAAATAACCATATCCCGACCCTATTACAAGGCTTCACACAATAATTTTTGAAAGGGTATCCAGGTTGAACTCGTATGCATGAGCCCTGTGTAACAAGGTACAATTTGAGAGGTCCGGGCTTGGATGGGGGGGGGGGGGTAGGGGTGGGATCGGGGCTTGGATTTGAGGTGGTCATTTGTCCCACGGCCAAGCATCTGTTGGTGTCGAGCCTCGCCCTATTAAAGGATTTCCATTTTGGAATCCATACATGTGCATGATAAACATCCTGAATAACTGAGAAATAGAATAATTTTAACAACAACACCAGTGTAAACATCACCTGTAAGAGCTAGAAAGCTACTTCAAATTTTTAAGAAATGTGAAACTAGTTCATTTGTGGATTTTTGTCTTCTTCCTACCAAGTGATAAACAATTTTTTTTTTTGAAAATTGAAATTAAAACAATTATTGTTAATTTTGTTGATTTAGTGTCTAAAATGGTCTTTAAACAAACGTTGTGAGTAGTTCCTTTAATGTAAATTCTTATTAGGCATTGACTGAAGAGCTGACCCAGTTGAAGGATGTGATCTCTGTAAAGAGTATACCTTGAGAAGAGACACAAAGAATAGACAGTTGAACAAGTAACACAATACCACTCAGCTCTTAGTACTGGCTGGGTGAATAAATTTCTTTTCACTTCCTTGTTTGGGTATAAGATGTGCAACATTTATGTTCATGTTTTAAAATGTTTCTAGATATACCGATATAACAATTTTTGTGGATGTACATGTACGTACATGTAGGGAGTTCCTCAATCAAATGTTTTTCTTTCTATTTCAATCAGAGGTCGTTAGGGTACTGAAAATTTATCTCAAAGTTCGGGGTCATTAGTCGAAACTTTTTTTACGACTATCGATTCGGAAGCTGCCGTGTTAAAGGCATGGCGCTCCATAGGGTCACCTATTAGAGCGTGGTTTGGTTTAGGGTTAATGTTGATTCTTACGAGGCAGATTCTGAAGAGCTGACCTGGGGGGTGTTTCACAAAGATCCTAAGTTGAACTTATCTCTAAATTGGACTTAAAAATTATGGAAAGCCATTAGCATCCTTGAAAACATTTTGTAAAAGTTATTTTAAAAGACATAAAATGTTGATTCAAATCATTCATATTTTCTATTATCATGAGAGATTCTATGTTCTTGATGTGGAATTTATAAAAAGTCTAAAATACTTGAATTTCTGCTTTTGAATATATTTCATTTTAAGGCTCCAATGGCTGTCCATAATTTTTAAGTCCAACTTAGTGTTAAGTTCTACTTAGGATCTTTGTGAAACACCCCCCTGGTTCGGAGATGGGATGTCTGTAAAGAGCACAGCGTGGGAAAAGACACAAATAATGGACAATTGAACAAGTACCGTAACACAATATACCTCTCAGCTCTTAGTACTTGCTGGGTGAATAAAGTTCTGTTCACTTCCTTGTTTGGGTATAATATTTGCAATGTACAATGTACATTTACCGCATTTATGTTCATGTTTGGAATGTGACATTCAAACTGATTCATTTTGTAAGCCTGTAAACTGTAAATGCATTGCAACTGTTTGCTTAGGAATAGGATGTACAGTACAATGTTCAATAAAAGTACTGGTAATGTCAATACTGCATGAATTTGGTATTGTTCCAAAATTTGGGGATACAGGAAAAAAGATGAATTAGATATTTCATATTAAAGTGTAATTGTGTTGTTAACATTTCCTCCTTTATGCTCATTGTATTCTGGTTTTCCTAAACTTTTAAATTATGATATTAAGAATATACGCCTGTAATATGGCAGGGTGCTACAAGAATTTTTTTCACCACTTGCCCTGTCGGGCAAGTGGGTTTTCAATTTACTTGCCCAAACAATATTTCCACTTGCCCAAAACTTTAAAGCGAAACAGGACTCGAGGTTAAAGCATTTATTATCTCGTAATGATAAGTTAGTGTTTTAGATAGCAAATTAATGCACATACATGTACAGTGTAACTGTACTGAATAATAACCTAATATGTCAAAGAAAATGGTCAACAAAGGATGGTTGAAGGTTTAAAAAACGCATTTTATTGATTCTCCATAAATAATCAGATTCACATGAATCTCGGCAAGGTAGAATGGTTCAAGCAGGTTTAAGTTTTTAATATTCAGTCATGTAAAAAAGCATAATGACCCTGTTGTAAAAAATATGATACAAACATGTCATTAATGGTAGCCACATGTACCATGGTGCAACATCACATGTGTGTCTGTGCAAGCCGCTGTCATTTGGAAACGTAGGCTAATTTTCAGCTGTTAATAATTTGGGTCAACTCTTCCATCAAGAAACGTCATGTAAATAATGGGTAATCAACTATTTTAAATAAAGTACGGACATTTTTATTTCATCATTCACTGCTATAAATATCATGCCAAAATTTGTAAATTCTTACTAAATAATAATATTGAAGATATTTTACGATAAATCTCGGATAAGTATGCGAAAACTAGACTAAACAACGTCGCTAAAACCATGAAAACAAAACAACAACGGCTTATATTCTGGGGGTCTCGATACTATTATCAAAATGACTCGCTCGGTCGGATCTTGAGACCGCAGTAATAAATTGAAAACGAGACAAAAACATTCATCTGATTTATATGAGCAGCGAGTTTCAAATAATATGTTCACAATCATTAACAGTCATTATGAATAAATATCAAACATTTGACTTTTTGTACTTACTAGAAAATCCCTGTAGTTTATTCCATTCCGATTCGCACGTGTTCATTTCCCTAGAATAATGACGTCATATTTGGCGTGATTCAACCAATCGGCAATCAGAGAATAGCAAAGGCCTGTCGGTGCGGCCTGCAGAGCTAGAGAGAGAGAGCGCGAATAAGCTCGCAGCTGGTACGATCGCGCTAGCTGTCTCTAGCTAGCTCACGGCCGGCCGTGCGTGGAGGCGGAGCGGCATTCATGGCTTGAAGTGTCACTGTTGCATGCGCGCTGAGCTAGCTGAGCTGGCTAGCTGTCTGTGAAGTTTTTTCGAAATCGGAACGATCGCTTTTTTGCTTCTGGATTTTGACGACGGGTAAGAAGTTGACGGGTGAATGGTAGAGTTCTTGGACACTAGGAAATTACTGTAAAAGTATCACTTGCCCGAATCGGGCAAGTGATAATTTGATTTACTTGCCCGACGGCTCAATTTGGTTGCCCCGGGACGTCGGGCAAGCGGGTTTGTCGCGCCCTGAATATGGTCCATATTCTTGAGAGTGGCATAAGTCAAACCTGACTCTATGGAAGGCCCATCGTTTACCCCCTTCATTCTGTATAAAATATCAAAATTACAAACAAAATGAACAAGCATTTGATATTAGTCTGTTCATAATGTAAAATGTAAAAATGAGAGGAGATATTTCAAAATGGCAAGATTTTATATGTTTATTTGTATGGAATTGTGGTGATGTGTATGGAAGGAAGAGGTTAACATTTGTTGTGTTTTAATTTGATGGATTTAATCTGGCACATACAGTGTAGCCTGGGTTTTCAGTTAAGAAGGCAAAAAGTTTTTTTTTTAAATCTCTTGTATACATGTAGTTACTTTGTACACTACACAATATCTTGACAATCTTTTTAAAATGATACATGTAATCTAAAACTACATAATGGAAGTTGTAGTTTTTGTAGTATTTTGTAGAAATTGTAATATTACCTGCAAAAAATGTTTCAATTTGTATGTTTCTTCAGATGCTATAGAGGTCTACTTACATGTACATGTATAATTGGCTTGACTTTTATGTGAATTCTCTATGACATGAAATATAAATAAAAAAATTTCATGACACAGTATACTTGCGTCACTACAATTATAATGTATTTGCCATTCTACTGAACTCTGTAGAAACCCTTGAGTCGTAAGTAATGTATTGAGTGGAATCAGTTTGTGGTTAGAGGACATTTTCCCCTTCATGAACCCCAGATATAGTTTTAATTTACATGTTCACTCTGGGAGCTTGTGCTATGGGAATAGAGAGAAAACGAAATCAAGTCAAGTCCAGAAATAGCCAGCCAGACAACCTCTTATTAGAAAGATGACTCATTGAAAAAATGGCTGCCCCTTCAAAAGCCTCATGGCTCTTGCGATCATTTCAACATTTGCAAGAAAGGCAACTTTCAAGCTCTGTGACACAATACAGTCTGTACTTTAACACGGCAAACCACACAATGTGGTCAACTCAATTTTCGCGAATGGGTTTAAAGCCCCTCTAGTGTTTGGAGCCCCAAATGCTCCAAAAGTTTGATGGCAAAATTTGTATCATAATGTGAAAGAGGATGTCATTTAAGACACACTTCTGCAAAGATCCCCCCCCCCCTCAATGTGTTTGAAGACAAATTTTGATAAAAGAAAACATATTTTGGATTTTTTGCTGTCCGCAGAAAACCTTAATTTTAAATATTTTCGACTTCAAACACATTTGTTTTGAAAATCCATGCAGAAATGCATCTTAAATGACATCCTCTTTCACATACAGGTTTTTAAGTGAAATTTTGCCATCAAATTTGGGGGGCTCCCAACACTTTAGAGGGGCTTTAAGTATATACATGTAGGTTGTAGGTAACAGACAATGTCTACCCAACATCTGATTTGTTTTTCCTGTTGTCTATAAATTTCTTTATTGAATGGTCCTTCACATACAGTACATTAATCATATACACTGTACATGTAGGCCTTATCTTCCCACATGTACAATACATGCATGCCATACACATGTAGCTCTAGATTTGCAAACACCCCATATTTTTTTCTTCTTCAAACATACATCTCCACCAAGTCTAGTTATTTTTTTTTGAATGAACCACAGTTGTGAGAATATTTGTTTTCTTTTTACATTTTGTGCGTACATGTACATGTATTTACTTGAGATTTTGTTTAGACCAGGGAGATGCTGTCATCTCCCTGTTTACATACTAGGCCTTGAGTTTTGTAGAATTGTTTTTAATTCATGCACCGTAATATTTTCTTGACTAAAGGATTGGACAGAAGGAAGCTAAGTCTGATAATTAAAAAAAAAGTGATTTACAAAAATAGGCCAATCCCATAAATTTGCTTTACAGGTTGATGGTTATATACAATGGGTAGTTTTTGAGAGTCTCATGAAGAGATCTAGAGTTTACAAGCAATGAGGAAGTGACAAGATGGGTCGAAGTGAAATGAAAACTAAGCGAAGGATTGAAAGTACATGAGATTTATTTATGGGACCCTTGAAATGTGAAGGAGAATTGGAGAGCATCGCATTGACAGGAAAGCTTAAGAGCTGGGGATGAAAAAGAATATTAGTGCATTTTGTATGTACATGGATAGTCTGCAGAGATGGCTGGAAGAGAGACTAGGGGATGTCGTTTAAATTGTATCTTCTTTCAATTTTGACACTCAGTTTTTCATTATCTTACCAAAAAAATGATTTTGCATAATGCCCTCTGCAACAAAACTCAACTTTCCCTTTAAGTGACCCAACATTTTTTTGAAAAACCATTGTTAACCAAGAACGGTGATGGTACATGAAGCAGATATTAACAAAATAATCGTAAATGGTCACTGAGAAGAGACTAATCACTCATGTGGTCATGTTTTGAGTAGGTACTTTCGTAGATAGAAGTTATTTAATCACGAAGTGTAGGGTTGACTCTTCGTTTTTTTTACAGGCCAGTAAATCACTAATAGTACTCAAGCTTTTGCAAGTACTTGATGTTACTCTTTTTTTACATAACCCTACATTATACCACTTGAACAAATATTAAAAGTGCTTGTTATTGAAACTAGTCATATATGGACATATCATAGCTTACGGTATATAGCCTGGGGGGTGTTTCACAAAGATCCTGTAGAACTTAACACTAAGTTGGACTTAAAAAATATGGACAGCCATTGGATATAGCAGAAATTCAAGCATTTTAGACTTTTTATAAATTCCACATCCAGAACATGAAATCTCTTTGATGGTAGAAAATATGAATGATTTGAATCAACATTTTATGCCTTTCAAAATAACTTTTACAAAATATTTTCAAAGATGCTAATGGCTTTCCATAATTTTTGAGTCCAACTTTGAGATAAGTTCAACTTAGGATCTTTGTGAAACACCCCCCAGGCCATATCCATGCATACTGCATGTGTACATCATCATCAGTTTTTTTTGGTGGGTGGGGGAGGAATTGGGTAAATGTACCCGTAAATTTCTGTGTATAAGACGCACCTGTGTATAAGATGCACCCCTTTTTTTGTTTTGTTTTGTTTTTGTTCTTCTGACTCGGCAGCAAGCCCGGTCCATGTTAAAAAACCCATGCGGGAAGGACTTTCATTTAACTGCAAGGTGCAGTTGAATGTGTAAGATCTTTAATGTAAATTAAAAAACAGTAGAGGACCTAGGATAGAACCTTGTGGTACGCCATGTGTAATAGAAGAAAAATTGGAGGAATTATTGTTATAAACTACCATATTGAAAAATCTATCAGAAAGATTACTTTCAAACCAAGACGACAGACAAATTTGAGTGTTGTTCTAGTTTCCGAGTGGTGAGTCATCACACCGATTACTGAGCTGGGAGACATTGCCAGACATAGCGCCTGCGTATAAGACGCACCCCCGACTTTGAATATTTTTCGGCGGCAAAAAAGGGCGTCTTATACACAGAGATTTACGGTAAATATAAATGTAGTTTTTTTTGTGTCTTTTGTACATGTATTTTATACCCTGAAAAATTATACTGAGCAATACAAATGCTGCATTGAAAATATGCATATAGGGACACACAGTGTATTATGTAACACAATAATGTCACATTTAACACACTTTAAATCTCTCATTTTCTGTGCTTACGTACATGATTAGGCGGAACGGTGAGGTGACCCACATCAAGATTCAGAACACAGGCGATTTCTTTGACCTGTATGGAGGTGAGAAGTTTGCTACCCTGGCTGAGCTGGTACAGCATTACACAGAGGGCAGGAATCAACTCAAAGAACGCAACGGTCAGATGATAGAACTCAAATACCCCCTCAACTGTGCTGATCCAACCAATGAAAGGTAGGCTGGGTCTCAAGGTTTCAAATTCAGCTTCGCTGTAGTGTGGGCATGTCTGAACATCATGTTAAGTTATACATTTGACATTGATTCATGTTCATTATGTTGTGAACGGCATCATAAAGGACACTGATATCTTGGATTGTCATTTCATAATAATTGTTTGACCCCACTTGTCCATGTGTAGGTGTTGGTAAGTTATGACTGACACAAAGTAAGATTTGATTTTATAGTACTTTAATAGATATGGGCATTCAAAAGTAAACATTGAGAAATAAAGAGATTTGAAATGAAAATGAAATCTCTGTCTTACCAAATTTACCAGGTCAAATCTCATGTTTATACTGCTATCTATACATGTATATTGTACAATGTATGTATGGTAATTGTAGGTTTCAAAATCATTGCCACCTAACAAACTTGCACATGAGCATACATCTGGACATCGGTTTAAAGACCAGTGACAGAATTGTGCACCATTGCTATTTGTGGTATACATGTATACTGCTGTTTGTTGATGTCACATTCTGATCTTAAAGTGGCTCAGTGACATTGCCTCAGAATCTGAAACAAAATCTTGTATTTAGCTCATGCTGCAATCATAATTATAAACCTTTAGGTCAGTCAGGAATCCCATGACTTTTACAAGCCAATAGCCTGTCTGAATATCAAGATACTGTATTTATGACTAGAAATCGAAATTAAATTTTGTGTTTTTATAACACTACAGTCTATTGAGGAAAATGAGTATGGTAAAACCGGTCACTCAAAGATTTTGCTTTTTTGAGTCACTTCTTAATCATTTTGAAGAGCAAATTTTTTAGGGCTTCAATATTCCACCATATCACAGACAGTGATAACACGTTTTATGGGCCATGCATCTCAGATTAAACATTGTAAAGTGATGCCTTTAATGTTTGATGTATTTTCAGATGGTTCCATGGTCATATCACTGGTAAGGAAGCAGAGAAGTCATTGGTGGATAAAGGCAAGAATGGCAGTTACCTGGTCAGAGAGAGCCACAGCAAGCCTGGGGATTATGTACTGTCTGTACGCACTGAAGACAAAGTCACCCATGTCATGATCAGATGCCAGGTCAGTATGTCCTCACACAAATGCATTGAGTGGTTGTTTCTGATTCGTTTAGAATCCGAGCTGAGTAATGCATAACAAGAAAAGTTCACGCATTGTGAAAGGACAACCATTCTTACAGCAAGAAACTTTTGCTAATTGCAGATATTTTGTATTGGGTCAATTGTAATTCTGTTTGCGGCATTTTGTGAGTTGAAGTACATTTTCAAATGTACTTTACACTTCATTTTTTTGTTTTTTGTCAATGAACCACACAATTGATGCATAGCACTATTTTCTTCAGAAAGTAGTGCTATGCCAGTCACCTCAGAGAATCCATAATTTTAATTGGAGCCTCTCAGTGCCTGGTATATTTGATTACCATATTTCTGTACAGAAATGAACAAGTGAAACCTATGTCAACAAGAAATCAATCTTTTACTTTTCATGACTGTTTAATTATTTACTTACAGATTTATATCAACTTTTGACAGAATAAAAAAGCTTGATGCTTGGTTCTCCATTAATCACTAGATTAAGTTAAACCAAGGTTTATATCAGTCCACCTTGGAAGATTACAAGCCATGGTCTTTAGAGACAGGTGGTTTCATTTTTGCTTTCTTGTCATTTCAGGATACCAAGTATGATGTTGGTGGAGGCGAGCAGTTTGAGACCCTGACAGATCTTGTAGACCACTACAGGAAAAACCCAATGGTGGAAACAACAGGCTATGTGGTGCATCTCAAAGTGGTAAGACAAATATGGACTAAAGCTGAACAGCCTGGGGAGGCTGCAGATAATGTTATACTTATAGTAAGGTCGCATTTAGATTTGAGGCATCTTGAGGAGGCCATCAGATTTATCCTAAAATTAGCCAAAGAGATTATGAGGTTCAATTTCACTAAAACTGTTTGAAAAAATTGAAGAGAGTGGTAACACAAATGATACAAACATCCTATTTATATGAAAAAAATGTGTCATGAATGCCATCTAAGAATTTATCAAATTGAGGAAACTCTAGTAACGTAACACATTGTGTCCCATGTGTCTACCCGACAAATCAACTTCCAGAGACATGTACATTTTTTAGCTGGCGTTAGCGTTAAAATCTGATGATGGTGTGATTCTACAGTAGTGTGTACCTGGAAAAGTCTGGAACTTAACCGTGTTTGAAATCCTGAAGAATCATGCTGATAGACTCATATACAGTTTGTTTATTTGTGGTGTTAGCACTAGTATTTAAAGGACGTACCTGTGTTTGTCTTACAGCCTTTCAATGCTACCAGGATCTCTGCATCAGGGATCAGGAATCGAGTAGAGGTCTTAGAGAAGGAAACTAAATCCAGAGAAAACTCCAAGAAAGCTGGATTCGAAGAAGAATTTGAGGTAAAGCTTTATTATAATGATGGAGGTTATGAGAATTATAAAAAAGAATATCAGGTATTATAGCTCTTCATTAGAGCCTAGTTTGAAATACGATTGACTCAGAATAACAAAAAGAAGAAGATATGTTATGATATTCATAGAATCTTGAAACCACATGCTATGATCTCTAATGCTTGGAATATGGCAACTTTTCTTTAGGAATCCTCACAGAATACATAATTGAATATTCATTGAGGTAAAGAGATGGTGCACACATGTGTTTGTGTGCGTGTGTGAATCTATGAGAGACATTATTTCTCAATCGGCATTGTTGATATTAAATATGGATTGTATTTTTTAAAGGAAAAATTCAGTTTTAATTGTGTTATGTTTCTTCTTCAAAGGCATTGCAACTGTTAGACAACAAGCATCTCCTACCAAGGAAAATTGGTGATAAAGCAGAAAACAAGAGCAAGAACCGTTACAAGAATATTCTTCCATGTAAGTAGTGACCTCAATGCATCAGCTTGGTATACAATTTAAAGGGAAAGTCCACCCTGATATTAAGTTGGTTTTAAGATAAGCACAGAAATAAGAGAAACCTTTCAGAGAAAGATTAAATAATTAAGTTTTGAAGGTGCGTTCAACCTAACAAAAATTGGCAACTCTGTGACATATTTTGCGAGCTTCTCTCCCATTTGCCTTGTACTAAGAAACTTTGAACAAATTATACTTTCCCTTCATAAATTTCCAATCATACATTCACCCTACATACAATTTTTGCAAATATGTTTTTATACAACCCCTGTATGAAACAAGTCTATTCCGTTATTGATAACTAAGAAAAAGAAAGTTTATGAAAATTTCTGTACAGAGCAAATTAAAGGTATAGACCAGTATTGGAAACGCCCCAATTTCAAAAAATGAAATGGAAGCTCTCAATACCAATCATGTGAAAGAATATGTTTTGACTATTACATGATGATAAAAAATTTGCTGGGAAACCGCCTACTAATTCATATATTTGGTAAATTTGTTTCTCTCATGGTCTGTGAGAGATATAGGGTAGTCCCACATACATCTTTCTGTGTATAGTGCTTGTAACTTTACGAAGAATGGGCCAAATTTCTTATCATTTTGATGATTCCAGAACCTTGCTAGAGATGCTAGATGCTAGATGCTAGATGATCAACCTTTTCTGATCGATTCCACAACGTTTCTTTCACAATGCAATCGCATGACCATAACTGGTCTTTACCTTTAAAGAGGAGCTTGCAAAATATGTCACAGTGTTGTCACCTCGTGTTTCACTGATGACAACTACAACAATTCATAACTTTCTTATTTTCAATTGTATATGGCTCAAACTTTCACCAATTGGTTTCTCTCGTTTTTCTGCTTTTATTGAAACCAAGACAATATCAAGGTGGACCAGTTAGATAGTAATTGTGTTGCTATTGTATTGACATGTCTGTGCGTTGCACCATACATCTATGTTTTGAGTAAATAAGGCTAGTTTACATTTCTGGAACAGAAAATAAGGTAAATTTATTGTTCAGTTTTTTCTTTAAGAAATGATAATGCAGTCTGCTGCTTTTTCTAGTGAACACTAATGCTAAAGATATATAGCAATATTATTTAATTTTCACAGCTGACTAAAATTGCCAGTCAAATTTGACATCCTTTATAGGGAAGTCTCAGCTATAAATGCACTCACAATGAGACATGAAAAATGGCTCCCCCTTGAGAACCCATTGTGTAGACTTTCCTTTGTTATCATTGGATCATGGTGAGAAGGCTTTCTATAGAATAAGGAAGTTGGAAATACACCTTTTGTTGACCTATGATTGTGATTGGCCTTTAATGAAGCGTGATGACTAGGCAGTGGGAGCGTGAGACTCTAAAAGTTTTCAAAGGTAATGATGATAATAATAGTGGAGTCTTGTATAGCATTTATGTTTGGCACATTGCCACTCCTGGCACTCCATTATTATCATTACCTCCATATAAGCCATGGTAATAGATTCGTTTTGACATGTAGGCTGTAGGAAGTTGTTAAAGGTAATACAAAATTGGGGGGAATTTTGAAAATTGGCTGGATAAAGATTCTTTACAATTTTTAAATATTTGGTTGCCCCTGGGGATCTATTATAAGCACTAAAAAATTTAGCCCCTAAAACACTTCTGCTTTTGAGATAAATTGAATATCATAATTTATCGTAGCTCCCAGTAAATTTCAATCATTTTCAAATAGCGCCTACGGCCACACAATGGTAGCTACGACCATGAAAATCTCAGAATAAGTAGTTGTGGTAAGTAATTGCCAAATGGGAATAGCCAATCGGTCGATTTTAGTCAAGAAACATTGTATTATAGTTAAAATTAATATCTTGACCTTGAGAGGGAGCTATGCAACAAAAAGAGTTTATGATTTACAATTTCATCACTTTAGACTCGATTTCAACCGCGACAACAATCACTGAATATTGTAGGATCGCATATGTTTCCAATATGTCCATTTGAACCAAAACTTTGTATTACCTGTAAGATTGGGAATTTCTATGGTTAAACAGTTTTATTGTTACCCTTTTTTTTTACAGAACAGATTTCTTTCTTCAAAGAAAATCATGCATAACCAATGATACTTTAGATTGATGAACATGGTGGTTAGGGAAGTGATTTTTTTTTAAATCAGGGATATATAATACATCTACACCTGTATAAAAGGAATGCTGGTATTCAGGCTTTTGCATAATTCAGAACTTCCTCTTCAGGTTTTGTTTTTTCATGCCCCATATGTAACATAAAATTCAGACCTTGTTTGAGCATGTGAGTCTCTCTTTTGAAGCTGATTGAGTAAAACCAACTGCTATCCCTTGGTATATGTTATGGAATGGAGAGTACCATAGGCCCTGTTGACATGCATGTAGTCACTTGACCGATATCAGATGATATGTTTACCTTACAAACGCCCATATACTGATGCCTATAATATACCCCTTCACTGTTAAGGCCGGCATTCTAATTTGAAAGTAAACATTGATGGTGCGCATATGTATTGTTGCGTCACTGCCTGCGCTGCGAGCTCACATCATATTAACATGGGCGTCATTTTAAATTATGACTAAACATGAGTAAAATGGCGCCCATGTCGGCGCATGCACAATCTTGTAACTGTGAAAGGGTGTATTATTTTCGCAATTTTCTGCTTTCATTACAAGCAGTTTGCAATCTGGAATCAGATTTCCCTTTAATTAAGTTGATAATTTTCCTTTTCCCTTTTTGTTTCAGTTGACCATTCAAGAGTTATTATCAATGATGGTCTCCCTGGTGACTATATCAATGGCAACTATATCGATGTAAGTATCTTTATTCACAATATTCATGTGTTTATGATAATGTGAGAGTGATTCTTGTAAAGTTTTAAAGGCCGTCTGTACTAGTTTGGCTAGGAGGGATTACACCACCCAGGGCAGTCACTGACAGGTGGCTATCTCATCAACTCAGCTCTCAATTAACATTAGGAAAAGAGGATCATGGGGGACCAGTGGTCACCGATTAGGCTTTGCTTGCTATATAGAGGGAGCAAGTAGCTACAAGTAGTACAGTGGGGCTTTAAAGTCTATTGAAAGCTACACATTGAACTTGACAATGTGATCCTGTGTGCCATTTATTATCTTGACTTATTGCAACTGGCTGAGCAATTTTACTTTTAGATCCTGAGAGATGAACGTGAGGAAGCTTTACAGTGTCTTCTATAATGCTTTGTATCACATGGTATAACTTTAGATTCCCTGCCAAGGCACTAACATATGAAAATATTCTTGGTTTATAAAGAGTTTAATACATCAACAATGTCCCTAAGTGATTTACAGATGTAATCACCCTGGTCATCAAATTTAGGCTTGTCCATAAATGTACATTCTTCACCCCCATGGAGAATTCCAAAGACGCTCACAATGCTGAGCAAACTACAATGACTTTTCCATCCTACCGGGTACCCTGGGTGGAGAGTGGCAAATGTGGATTAATGTCTTGCCAAAAGACATAATAATAATAATAATAGCCTAATAGTCCACTCCAAATTTTATTAAACCGAAACGGAAATTCTTTTTGCCCAATTGATCGTGAGCCCGGCAGCCACTGAGCAGTGCCAGATCGACGTTGCTCTATCCCTTATTGTTGAACGCCAAACAAGGTAGCAACAACTCCCATCTTTTAACGTCTTTTGGTATGACGCTGCCGGGGTTCAAACCCACGACCTCCCGGTTGTGAGGCGGACGCTCTACTGACTGAGCCAACGTTAGTGCCTGGCTGGAATTCGAACCCTCAACCCTTGGATTGAGAGTCAAACACATGAACCACTACATCCTTTGGAAAGACATTAATCTACATTTGCCTCTCTCCACCCAGGTGAGGTTAATGTGCTCCTGGTAGGTGTGCTCTATCAGTGTAGCTTGGCTAAAGCTAGGGGAATGAATAGTACAGCACTTAAAAACACTAAAATTAAGTGCTATATTAATGTTACTATTGTTGTTGTTGTCATTGTTATTATTGTTTGTGTTGTTGGTATTGATATTATTAATAATAATTCTTTCTCTTCTAATTTTTAATATGAATCATTGAGTAATTTTGTTATTATTTTGATTGAATCAGTTACCAAAGGCATGGAAGAACAGTATTGAGCTTCAGCAGCAAGGTGAAAATGTGGAGAAGATTGACATGAGTTGGGAGCATCAGAAACGGTACATTGCTACACAAGGTTGTCTGAAGGACACGGTACCAGAGTTCTGGCGAGTGGCCTGGCAGGAGAACTCTAGAGTCATCGTCATGACAACTAAAGAAGTGGAAAGGGGGAAGGTAGGAATCACCAGTTGTACAGCAAACAGTCATGCAACCATTGCTCTGTGATCAATTTCATATATTAAGAAGACTTCCAATCTTCAACCCTTGATCAAACACTAAATCAAACCTAACCTAAAACCCAATTGTAGTCTTTTGAGAAAGCCCCCTGGAAACCACTCAGTGGTCAGTTTGATTATAGTATTGTAAAGAGGGGTTTTATTTTGGGTATTTGAGGGATATTTTCAACCAGTTATAAACTTAAGGGATTTAACAGGTTTTTGAGATACCATTCTTGGCATAACTATAATTATGATTATGATACTACATGTATATATTGCATGGGAAATGTTCACTGTTGAAGGGAAGCAAAACACATTGGCCCATATTTCCTTAAAATTCTATTAAAACCTGATGCTTTTGTTCAAAGTTGGGTTTCACAATGCGAACAAAGCTAGTCTGAGGTCTAAGTTGCCTTGTTAAAGGCCCACTGCACTACTTGTAGCTACTTGCGCCCTCTTACAACAAACAATGCCTAATCGGTGACCATTGGTCCCCCATGATCCTCTTTTTCTTATTTTAACTGAGAGCTGAGTTGATGAGATAACCACCTGTCCAGTGACCTTGCAGGGCGCTCTAATCCCTGCTGTAAACTATGGCAGATAAGTTTTAAATGTGATCTTAGAACCAGGGTGGGGTTAACTGAATTTGTGTAATACGGATGTACAGGTACATGTATGCGTTTGTAAATTGCGCTATACACTGTGTAAGAAATTGCCATGTGTAGATTAAGGATGTGAACTGCAATTTAATGTCTGATTGTCTTTTTCTTTTAGAATAAATGTTGTCGTTACTGGCCTGATGCTAATACTAAGAAGGATACCGGAGTAATCACTGTAACGCACATCTCAGAGCAGAGCATGGCCGACTATGATCTCAGAGAGTTCTCAATGTCTCATAAAGACTTTGTAAGTATCAGCAGTTTGGCGATTCCATGAAATAAGTACCGTACAAAATGAAAGATGATAGTCATTTATCATACTTATATCATGTATCCCCAGGGTACCAAGAACATTCCTGTAATCCAAGCTACGTTTACCAATTACAACTTTGGTTTTACCATGTATTGAAATATAACAGAATGTGACATGATGACAATTTTACTATAAAAGGGGACCACTAACCTTAATGCAAAGAATTTATTAATCACCCCAAATTGTGAGACATTCAAACCTTTAAGGATTGAAGAGCTGCTCATTTCACTTGCAGTTTATTTTTACAGATGTAACATACAAAACTTGTATTAATTAGTATGCCGATATGGAACCCATAACAGAGGTCATACTGTAGTTTTATTGTATGTTAACCTTTTCTTGTCCACCTATCTGTGTTTAGCCTGAAGAATCGAGACCAATGTTTCACTTCCACTTCAAGAGTTGGCCTGACCATGGTGTACCCTCTGACCCTAGCAGGGTCCTCAACTTCCTCCAAGACGTCAACAAGAAACAAGAAACATTCCCAGATGCTGGCTCTATCATTGTTCATTGCAGGTAGGAAGAGCAAGTCTAATGTACATTCGGCAAAAACGAAAGAAAGTGGATACTATTCATAGTTAAAGGTAATACAAAGTTTTGGGAAATTTTGAACATTGGATGGATAGTGAATCTTTACAATTTTGTTATATTTGGATGCCCCTGTGGATGTATTATAAGCACTAAAAAAATTAGCCCCTAAAACACTTCTGTTTTCGAGAAAAATTGAATATAAAAATTTACCGGTGCTCCCGGTAAATTTTGATAAATTTCAAATAGCGCCTACGGCCGTACAATGGTAGCAGCGACCATGAAAATCTCAGAATATGTAGTTGTGATACATAATTTTCAAACGGGAATAGCTAGTCAGTCGATTTTAGTCAAGAAACATTGTTTCATAGCTAAATTAATATCTTGACCTTGAGAGGGAGCTATACAACATAAAGAGTTGAATATTTATATTTTCACAACTTTAGACTCGATTTCAACCGCGACAACGACCACTGAATATTGTAGGAACGCATATGCTTCCGAAATTGTTAATTTGAACCAAATACATGACCCCATACCAAAACTTTGTAATACCTTTAAGATATGCAATTAGATATTTGGGCCATTTGGTGGTGGTTGTGGTTATTTTACCTGACTGCTAAGCATAAATACTTGTTAGTAAGCAACCAGATGGCCGACGGCTGAAGGTCCTCTCTGAGGGACCTGGTAATGAGGATTAAATCCTTACCAAAGGGCACTAGCGAATCGCCCTGGTTGCAAACCCGGGTCACCAGATTACGAGACCACTACTCTACCGACTGAGCTATCGCGCCTCGTAACATATTTGTTAAAAATTTATCTTTCATATACCACAAGAAACAATAAACTCTCTTTAAGATGATATGCAATTGAAATCATACTGCTCATGCATGAGTGGGGGCATAGCCATCTAACGATAAATAAGTCTCTGAAAGAAAATTTCAAAAATGGGCATCTGGCTATTCAAATGTTGATGGACATTGTAGGTATCCTGACTTTTCATTGTGCTTGTCAAAACCATTGTTTCTCATTCTTTGTTTCTATAGTTAAATAAGTCTGCCTGACAGATGCACATGTTTATTAACATTTAAATTGCTGCTTGCTCTGTTTTTGCAATCTTCTTAATCATACCTTATAACAGTTAATTAATAAAAGTTCAAAACTTGGTCTTAATTGATTTTGGTAGAGTAGTGATTTTTTTTGTTAATTTGATATATAATTTATTACATTTATTGACAGTTTTTATGAACATTTTGAACAGTAAAAAGTGTCCACTCTTTATTTCTTCTTTCTGCTTAGTGTATATTGTTCTAAATGTTTAATACAGACATTATCAAGGATTTTATTATACCCGATGATTCTGTTGAGTTGATAGCTCTACCGTAGCTTTGATCATAGATCATAGATATTTCAGTTGTAGATGGATATTGGGATGATTTATGTAATGGGATTTTGAAATCTAAACTTTTATTTTTGGAAGTTTAGTTCACATTAGAATATAGAGTGAGAAGGCGGAGGGGAAAACACTCTTTTTACTAGAAAGTTAACTGGAGGCCCTGCGTGTAGGAGAGTCGCACCCTAGGCATGTTAATACGCTATACTTCTTGCAAAGAGTAGAGTGTATACCGGGTGTTAAGTGTACCTGTATACAAAACTGGTAATCTATCTACAAATAAAGGCTGCATAGCCCTTTGAAGGTTAACAGAAGAAGGAGAAGAGTGAAAAACACAGAGTGCATTCAGCTAAAGTTAAAGTTTCATACTGTTGCGCATAATGAAGGCTGCTTGCAAAGGTGGATAAGTACCGGTAGCTCTTGCAAGTTACTACCGGCACTCTCTCGGGGAACTGCCACTTTAAATGATGGTACCAACGTAGAACGAATGATGTTGAATATATAAACGATGTTTTATTCTCCAACAGTGCCGTGAAACTGTAAACAAACAATGCACAGAAAACAATAAAATCAATCAATCCGGTCAAAGTAGGATCTATGAATAGTCTATACAAGTTATGTAACAAATCACTTGAAAATATTATCTACTGATATATTAATTATACTGCGTATACTAATAACAAATGTAAATATATCTCTTGACTCTTAAGATTCAGCTGGTACTCATGTGCAAAGAGCTAGAAGGACGTTAACGCATGTCACTTTACACAGAGTTATATCCTTCTGACTCCTAAATGATGGTATTTGATGTTATTAGTAATTTTTAAATATACAGTGAAACCTGTATATAAATACTGATTAAGGGAAACATGAAAAGTGATCTTTATAGGCAGGTGGTCTTTATGTACAGGCTCCTTTAGTACAGGTTTTAATGAGAAACTATATTCAAGGGAAACAAAAATGTGGTTTTATAGACGGGTGGTCTTTCTGTTCAGGTGTCGGCTAAAGCAGGTTTGACTGTAATGTGAGATAACTGTAGACCTACATGTATCCATCTGTTTTTTTTTCTCTTTATATCTTGACAGTGCTGGCATTGGAAGGACAGGCACGTTCATTGTCATTGACATCATTCTCAACCTCATCAAACAACATGGTTAGTATAGTAGAGCTATCTTCAATCTGATAAATGATTTTTGATGAAATGAGTGCAAGGTAATAGTTGGTATGGATCATGCCTGATAATTACCCAATTTAAATCTGTTTCCTGATTTTTTTTTCTTCTTCTTTTTCCCCTGATTTTACACCTGTTTTTCCCAATTTTTTCCCTTATTTTCCAGATTTTCTTACTCAAAGGGGGAGGGGGGGGGGGGGGGGGGGGGGGAGGGATGTTGTTAAATACCATTTTTTTTCTTCCCTGGATCCTTTTTTAAATTTATTACTCGAGGGGGACGGGAGGGGAGGGGGTGAGGAAGCAAAAAAAAACTTTCCTTTTTTTTTTAGTGCTCACTATCACCCCTGGTATGGATGGAGTATATTTCCAGAAACATTGTTACAAATTATTTGTTATTTAAGTACAGACACGCACATATTCATTGATACAATAGACCAAGTCAGTTTGTAGCAATGGTTTGAGCATGAGAAGGAGAAGGAAAAAAAATCTTTAGATTTCTACAGAGTTTTGCATATAGCTAATCAGGAAATTGGTATTGCAAAGAAATGATAAAGTTACCTTTTCTTTCATTTATCAATCATGAAGAAAAACTGTATAGGCTAGTAGCGCGGCGGAACTTGAACCGTTAACCATGTGATCCACAGTCTGGTGACATATCCACTTGACCAAGACACTTCTACATTTATAAGAAACAGATATTTTTACTATCGTTTTTATTACAAACCGGTCCATTATACCCTGGAAGCAATGTTCTGTCATCCCACTCTATGTATTCTTTCCTACAGGACTGGACTGTGAGATTGATATCTATAACACCATCAGGCTTGTAAGACAGCAACGCTCAGGTCTGGTACAAACGGAGGCACAGTATAAGTTTGTCTACAGGGCTGTTCAGCACTATATCGAGACTCTGTCACAAAGAGTAGCTGCAGAACAGGTATTTCATCTCTCTTTAATGTCTCACTCACTGATATTCCCTTCTTGTTATAGAATTTAAATCCCATGGAATTTAGTCCCAGCAAGTTGTAACCAGTCTAGGATATTTGACCAATCAAGTGGTGTCGTAACCAAGTCAATGCGCTCGTTCCCGTTGGTAAGGCATTGATCCCTCGGGGAGGACTTAACGTCGTAAGTCCCCTGGTTGTTTACCAGTCTTGTAAAGTCACGTAAAGCAATCATTGATCATCATCAAACTATATCCAAATGTTTTAGTATAAATTTTGCTTTTGCGCTTTTGTCTCCATCAGAACACATTGAAGACTGGACGTGAGTACATCAATACGAAGAGAGCACACTATGAGGTTCAGCAGCATCACACTCCTGGTTCTACTCCAATCCTGTCACCAGCTATCTTGAATGAAGATAAGAATGTCTACCAGAATGTTGGACCTATCAACAACATGGTATATATCAGGGCTCTACCGGATTGAACTTCTTATGTCAAAAATTATTTTTTAAATCCAGGCTTAGATTTCAGGTGCCCATGTATCCTTGGCCCGTTGCATAAAACTTACCATTGATGGTAACTTTGCCATCAATGGCAACTACCATGGTAACAGGGCTCAACAGCCAATCAAAATCAAGGTTTCCATTATGGTTACCATTGATGGCAAAGTTACCATCAATTGTAAGTTTTGTGCTACAGGGCCCAGTCAATGTCGAGCTCTGTATAAATGCCCGTCTGCTTTAAGTAAAGTAAGATCAGGGGGAAATATTTTTTAATGACTCAATAGCCAGTTTCATCTATTGCTATAGAATATTATTGGTTAAGGGTTGCATAGGGTTTGGTTTTTTTATCTGAAGAGTTGCTTTATTATTTGAATAACTGTCTGTGTACAAAAGATATTTCAGGATTCCTTTTAAAAAGTGTTATGAAAAGTAATCAACATTTTGATTATGATATGATTGAATGTATAGAAGTTGGAGTTTTGCAGAGTTCATTTTCTCTTTGTCTTTTCAACCACTTTTCTCTATCCTCATTCATTTCTTTCTTCTTTTCTCCCTCTTTTCTCTACTTTTTTTCTCCTTCTCTCGCCCTCTCTCTTTTGATCTATATCATGATCACTCTCTATATCTCTCTTCTCTCTCTCTCTCTCTCTCTCTCTCTCTTCCTCTCTTGATTCCCCATCATGATCACTCTCCTCTCTCTCTCTCTCTTCCTTTACAGTCAACACCAATTCCTCCTAGGGCACGCCCAGCGCAGCCTCCCGTTCCAAAGTCCAACAACATCAAATAACCTGTCCCTAGAGGAACCAGTCATTGGAGAGTAAACTACCACAACTATGATTGGACCCCAGCTTCATCATAGACTACAGCAGATCATCGTCAGGTGCGGATGTGTACAGGACACTTTATGTCTTCTATTATTTATTTGTTGCGATAGCCCGTGACTACGCTCACAATTGTTGGAATTTCAACAAACTCTTCCATTTATATGTACGGGACCCCTCAACTCGGTGCGATGGTTAGAATGAAATGAATCTAATGACTCTCATTTGGGAGAAAGCCATGCTTGATTATTTGTGATCTCGCTGTGATGTGTATTTGAGGTGCATGAAAAATATCACATTTTCACATTTATTCTAAGTGTATTAAAGCATGTCTTAATGCTTCAGCAATTTTTTCTAGATTTCTGGAAATGCATAGGACTATAAATGTTTTGTTAACTAAATGTTCACAAAAGTGTTCACAAAAAATGTTAAATGCTGAAGTAAGGTCCTACAAAGGTTGAAGATTAAATAGTTATGTTAGATACATATACTTATAGATAATACAGAGTTCTGCAGGTACATGTGATCTGGTTATTCACGTATGTGTATGCAGTACCTTATCTAATATCAATGTAATTTAATTTTTAAGTTGACCTTGAAGGTTTATTGAGACGCAAGTGGAAATGCAAAGATTCTTCGTGATGTAAAAAGTAAAATGTGGACAGCTCTAACAATGTACCAGCCACATCCATTAATAAGATGTGTGTGTTCTTATAGATCACAGGATTATGGTGATTAAATATTTATTTAATTAAACCATTAGGACAAGAGAATAATTACAGTATTTTTAAAATGCAAACTATGTAAATGTAGATTGTCTAATGGACTAGGAAATTTGTCAACTTGTAAATCAGGCAAAACTGGTTGAAATAAAAGAAATTGATTCAGAATTTTCAAAGATGGAGTTGAAGATCGGTTACATGTATTGAAGAGTGAAGTTACACAAATTACATTTTAATGTTGATTATCATGTGGCATTTGGAAATTCATAACTAAAGTTTCTGGATGTATTAGTTTCTGGATGCAGACTCTGTTGTTACAGTTACTAGATGTCGCATTATTACATCATGTGATATCACCTTTTCATCAATGTGCTTGAACCTTGCCTGAGCAGAAAGAGCCAAATTGGGCACATTTCGAAAAATCACAGATCTTTATTCATTCTTGCAAGTCTAGGCATCTATTTTGCTGGGGGAAGAGTGATGCCATATGAATATGACCGTCATATCACGTCTTCAGAATCATGTCACTTTTCATGAGTTAGGTGACGTCACTGATCTTGGACTAATACTGTTGTAAAGCGAGTTTGTCATTGCACAGACGTCTCTCTAAAATACTCTTTGTACAGTATAATCCAGATCCAGTATCAATCTATATCATAAAGCTTTAGCATCAATAGATTGAATGTTCTCTGAATATATGGTGAATATCAATGGATAATACTCTCCCAATCTTGATGTGAAATCATGCTTAATTGTAAATATTTGTTGATTAATAGACACTTTCCAAGGATATATGGAGACATATTTTTTCATAATAAAGCACATCTTTTGTAGACACGATAAAGTATATTAGCATTTGACATGATGATAAACGATATTGGTCTTGTGATCATTTTTAATTGTTCAGGATTCTATTTTGCCCCTATTCGCTTCAGAATTAGCTACAAAACTATGCTTTATAAGTGATATTATTATATGATGCAAATTTTGAATATTTTAAATTCTAATTTAAACAAATTTCAATTAATTTCTTAATTATATAGATTTCCTTGCATCTAATTAAAAGAAATAATCTCAGTGTAAATGTGTGTGTTTATGTAGCTATAAGTAGTTTAAGTACCGTAGCTAGCTGTTTATGAAGCTTTTAGTTTATGTAGCTATCTCCTAAACAAATTAGCACAACTCAATTAATAATATGTCTGAAATTTGCTACCCAGGAAACATATTTGACAAGCTTCATAGCTCATTAAGTTAGTGCTCTTTATAATAAGTTTGAAAATACAATGCAAAGGGGGTTGCAGTCAAAGGTATTGTGGGTTCTTGCTTTCATTTTCAAAGAAATCTTATACATTTTGTATATACCATTATACATAGGCTCAGTGGCCTATACTCATCAAAGCATATCAAGAAAAACCCCATTTGGCTTACTTTGTTCTTCCAACAAATGAAGTGAATTAAGTGATGAAATGAAAAATGAAAAACAATGAGATATTCATTTCACCGTGATGTTCACTTTTATTTATTCACCTAGTTACAAAACTATTGAAAATTTTATGGGATAAAGTGATCAACACTTGGTGCTCTATAAAGTTGTAGGACTTAACTTCATGATGTAAACCTGGACTTAAGTTTTTACACTTTATGAATAATGACTTAAAGATAAAGTTGAGTTCTCTTCCTGCGATTGCATTGTGAAAGAAACTGCGGTAGTGATTGGGGAAAAAGGCTGACCATGTAGCATATAAGTATTGGTGTATACATGTACTGTTGGGGTTTGGAATCATCAAAATAATAAGAAATTAGCTCAGTCTTGCTAAGAGTCACATGACACTGTACACAGAAATGTGTACATGGGACTAAAGTTTAAACTAAGGTATGGCATGAAAGTGTGATCCACAACAATGCTATGTACTATTCTAATGTATTATGACATGCAAATTATGCAAATTCAATATGAAAAGAATTTAAGAAGAGATTTGGTTGGTAAAAATACTATGCATGTTTATGAAGTTCATTTACTTTTTTCAATGTGTTTACCCAATATTATGGTGCATAAGAATTTATAATCTTCAAATTTATTTCTGGAAATATTTTTGTTGTTTTTGTTTTTCGATGCCTCCACATAAGATTTCAAATATTTTTTATTTTTTATTTAAATTGATTAATCAAAGAAATAACCACCAAATGAATGAAAGAATTAATTTCTTTATAATTTTTTTTAATTGTTTCATAGATGAGAATTTGACAATGTCTCTGCCATTTTGAATTCTTCATATACATTTCTCTATCACCTACATCAAGTTGTATTTACACATTCCTTCTAAAGCAAAGTTTTCCATGTACAAGGACATAATACAGATTGCATACATGTACATGTAATTCCTAAGCTTTAATATCTCCCATAATGTTTACCATGTAAAGACCCTGTTCTTCACTCTGTCTTGAAAAGAAATAGGAAAACAATTAGATTAATATGACTTCTGTGCAATATTTTTTTCTTCTTCAAGGAGCTCTTACGTTATTTAAGTGTATTACATACAATTTAGATTTTAGTTCTTGTTACAAAGATGTACACCATTTAAGAGTGGTAGTCATTTTTGTTTGTTGCTTTATGGTTCCTCTAATTGAACCCTCTCTACTGTTTCTCTTAATGCTTTTGATTTTAGGTAAATTCTTGAATTACTTACATATTCTTGTCTTCATGTTTGATAAAATAAAAAAACAGCTGTATGTATCAATCAAAGATGTGCATTAGTAAGAGTTCCATGCATGTTAATAAAATGAGAGACAGTATAATTTTTTGCTCACTGAATGAAGTTTCAGGATTGAAAAGTAACAAATACCAAGCTACCATATCATACTACAAATCAATGTCAGCATCGATTAATATCGCTGCAACATATCGTTGAGGATGAATAATGAAATATGAAGTAGGAATATTTAATATAGCTTTGAAGTGTAATAAGGAATAATATTTTGCTGTAGTGTGTAAAGTCTTATTTTGTGTAGGTTGTATCTTTCTTCAGTAACGGTCTGAAGTTCATTACTAGAGTTAAACTAGCTTGGCAGTTTCAACTGCCCTCAATAGCAGCTGCATCACAAGGTCCGCAATAAATAATTAGTTTAAACCAAAAGAAGTCGTGCTACAAAAAGCAAGCTGCAAGTGAGAACTCGAGCCGCTATATATTATGCATAATTGGTTTGTGTAGATAAAATTGCTGATTTTTCAGACAAATCCTGTACCCTATTTCATAAAACTTGTTATCAATAACAAGTTACAATATAAACTATTATACTGTATGCTACAAAATTGTGGCATTTGGTTGGCTGAGAGCAAATTTGTCATAAAAATGTAGCTTTTGTTATTGTTAACAAGTTTTATGAAGCAGGGCCTAGGTCCCTGTGCTTGGTGGTTATATTACCCCCTGGACAAAACAAATGTAAATGCGTGGAGTGTGGATTATTTTGGGCCATTGCCTCAGTCCTTCAAGATCTGTCTATGAGACAGGTACTGACTGAATTCAAATTTGATTGCTTTAAATAGAATTGAAGTATGATGTCAAACACTGGTCGACATGTAGGAATACTTGATCTCGATAGGTAAGAATATCGTCTTAGAATTATCAGCAAATCACAATGCTTCATATTCTTAACATATCAGAATTGAGTTGCAAGTTGTTATATCAATGCTTATATAAATTGGTTTACATTGCTCTTTAATGTACCCGGTATATACATTCACATAATAATATGTATTATGACATGTTACAGTAAATTGAGAATGAAGATGCCTTCTTCTTTTCTTTTAAAGTGTATATTTTGTCATCTCTAGTTTTGAATATTTTGGGGCATCTGTTTTTAATGTTTGTTTTTGACATTTGACAAATATTGTAATGTTATATTTTTGTAATTTAAACCATGGACCATGCTCATTTATATATTTTTTTTGTCTATAGCATCTGAAATGTTTGTTTTCTGTTGTTATGCATAAATATTAGGAATAGTGAACAGAATATTTCATTTCTAATGTAAATAAGCCATAAATGCTACAAAATGATGAAGTAAAGCTGTAGGAAGATTTTAATATATTCCATCATAAGTATTTTGAAGAAAAGTATTGTATGCAACTAAGTATGAAGAATGGTGACAGTTTATTTTGGTTTCCATGATATTGAATAATGCACTGTTGAATATATCCAGAAAATTTCCTGGAAACTGATTTGTTTTTGTATGTTTTAGGTGTGCTAGATGATCACTGAATATAGAGATTTAATGATATCATGCTTGCACCCTATTAAATAGACAATCTTGATTAATATGACCGGCTACATCTGTGTTCTGGATTAATGATAGTTGTAGCTTTATAGTTGTCGATCATAATGGGCCATTTTCGTAATGTAACCAAATTTATACTAAAGTGTCTTGATACGAATATCATTCACCCGTTACAAATAATTGTATCTCAATAGTCAATAGACATATATTATGTCTTGTTCGGCAGGGCAAGCCATGTTTGCCCTACCTAGCACCAACTAATAAATGCAATTTGAATTCTGACTATTGAGATACATGTATCAAGGCGTTTCACTAAGGCATATGCATGAATTTGTTTACATTACGAAAATGGCCTATTTTGTGTGTTTGTTTTGTCATGCTCTTGAAGGTGAATTGTCGTTTGGTCTACAACCAGTTCGTCTACTTATCATTTGGTCTAATAACAATTTAGGTAATAGTCATTTGGTCTAATTTCCAGTTTGTCTAATGCCCATTTTGTCTACTATCCATATGGTCTAATAATCATTTAATCATATCATATTCATCAAATGATTATTAGACCAAATGATTATTGGACCATGTGGATATGAGACTGGCTGGGAATGGGAATAGACCAATTGGGTAGTAGACGAACTAGTAGTAGACCAAAAGGCCATAAACCCTCATGAATGCATCTGATGATGAGTGCAGTTGCGTCACTAAGCTCTCTTCTATTTCTCTTCCTCTCATCCATCCACTGACACACAGATGCAGGGTAACACTTTCAATAAACAACAATACACACTGGAAATCTAGGCTTGTATATTATTTATTTCATTACACACACAATACACATTAATAAAATGTTAAATTTCAATAAACGTGCAAACGATGGCCCTCTTTAGGACTCGCTCTAGAGCTACACATGCTCCTGAAAGTCAAACTTTTTGTTGATCAAAATGTAATAATAATATGTCTTGTTTACCCAGTATTTGTTCTCCCTGATGGCCCTGCAATCATATTATTTTAAACATATAACATTACTGTAAGAAAGTGAAGGCACAATCTAAACCAAGTTTTTATTGAAAATTTGTAGAATTTTTTATGTATCATGTTCTTCATTAAAACAGCTGCAAGCGTTTAGTCTCTGTCTTGTAAAAAACTTGATTGTCCACTTGTTGAACAATAGCAGAAGAGTAATTTCAAAGTTCATAGAAAAAGATTCTTCCAAAAAGAGTAATACAAAAAATGAGAAGCAAATAAATTTTGCCCTTTCCTGGTGTTCACAACTCACATGTATTTATAACAACTATTTAATGAGCAGTCAATGAAATACAAGTACATGTACTTGTAAGCATCTTGTCATTGACTTGGCTTTCTTCAAAGTGTACCAATAACCAAAACATCTTTTGTTCTCTATGTTAGAAGATCACTATACTCAAAATATGGGCTTCTAATTTTACTTCTAACCATAAAAAGGAGTTGTGAGTGAGTGGGCCTTTTTTATGTACCCATACATGCTCAAAAAGAGTATGGCAGGCACAGAACCAAAGCCTGAGTTGGGTTCCATGCACACATTTTCATGTTATCTTATTATTTTCCTCATACATGTACCTCGTACAATCCACAACTGACACTCAAGATCACATGTTAGCTTTTAAGACATATCCTCTTTTCTCAAGTGACTACACACATGACATTTCAAACATTGATAAGGGTAGGGCAAGGATAGATGTGAAAGACGCAAGAACAGCACTGCAAATAAAATATATATATCACACTTGGTTAAAATATAATAATAGGCCCATTTACATAGAGCAGCTAATAAATGAATATACTCTATTGTGCTTAAAGGTAATACAAAGTTTTGGGAGATTTTGAAAATTGGGTGGATAGTGAATCTTTACAATTTTGATATATTTGGATGCCCCTGTGGATGTATTATGAGCACTAAAAAAAAATAGCCCCTAAAACACTTCTGTTTTCGTGAAAAATTGAATATAAAAATTTACCGGTGCTCCCGGTAAATTTTGATAAATTTCAAATAGCGCCTATGGCCGTACAATGGTAGCTGCGACCATGAAAATCTCAGAATATGTAGTTGGGATTTATAATTTCCAAACGGGAATAGCTAATCGGTCGATTTTAGTCAAGAAACATTGTTTCATAGTTAAATTAATATCTTGACCTTGAGAGGGAGCTATACAACATAAAAAGTTTATTATTTATAATTTCATAACTTTAGACTCGATTTCAACCGCGACAACGATCAATGTATATTGTAGGAATGTATATGCTTCCAATATGTTAATTTGAACCAAATTCATGACCCCATACCAAAACTTTGTAATACCTTTAATACAAAGTATATCATTACCCTGGCCGTAGCTAAGCCACCATCATAAGGCGCTGAAGCATTAAAGGGATTCCTTCCTCGCGAGTACCCATTTACTTCACCTGGGTGAAGAGTGTCTTAATATTAAATTATATCTGGTGCTTGAATTTTTTTCTCTAACTACATGTATTAACTATCATTTGATCTTATGTCCACAATATCATGTTTTAGAGCTAAATCTAAAACCAAACTCGGTTAAAAATTCACACATACAGTAACTTATATTTTGGAAGCTGCAGAGGGGATTAACTTCAGCAAGTTCCAGTATTCTCTTGATATATTTATCAATATTATTTAATTACAGGCTTACAAATATAACTTTCTCTCAATACAGCCATTTGTATAAAATCAAGCTAAACATACACTGTACATTAATTGTCATCTCATACTTGAATACTCACTTCAACTATCACAAATTTATCTACATTACAACATTTTTTGCAGCAAATTTCACTTTTCAAACCATTCAGATATGGCATATTGAATACACATAAGTACTATGGGGTTATATCAAGGTGTTTGTAAATATAATAATCACACACTTAAGAGTAAATATGAAATTCAAAATGATGCATTTTCAAAAATACTTTCCACATTGCATAATATACATACATCTCATATAAATGACACACAAATGAAAGAATGTTTCACCATGGACAGCAATTATTGAATACTGATTTTTTTCTTTTTAAAGTAAATTCAAATTTACATAATCATAGATATACAATTACATACATACCTATCCTTTTAATATTATATAATACATAGTCATTTATATTAGTACATTAGATATACACTGCAAGCAAGCAAAATGCTTATACTTGAATGTACCTGTACAAATAGTATCATATCGTATTCACCACACATGAAAACTAACTACATGTCATATGCATGAGACAGTGTAAATATGAACTAAAGATACAGCATCATACCAGGGCCCCGTCTTATAAAGGTTTGCGCTTGATCCAAGACATTGCAAGTTTGCAGTCGTCTATCTCTTATTTACCTTGTTGCGATTGATATCAATCGAAAATAAGTTGCAATTAATCACAACTCTTTATTAGACGGGGCCCAGGTAGCGAAATTTTTATTCCCAAACAGGTTTGCAATTTCTTATATTTCCGTTGTTCTCAATGGCTGATATGTTCTACGTCATTAGCACCTTGGAAAGAGGTCACAAACAATTAGTCTTTGATTTTTTATTGCTTTGCCTCACTATTTATAAAGGCAAAAAACTGAATAAACTGAGACTTGAACCCACAACTCTATGATTGTATTACGCTGACCTTACCGATTGAGCCAACGATGGGTTAATGAAAAGTGATTCTGCATGATTTCTATAACCCTATCACTCACCCTGACGGTTACGTCATTGCTAATGACGTAACATATCAGCCAATCAGATGACCGGAAATATTAGCATTGGCAAACCTGATTGGGAAAAAAAATTAGCGCCCAGGTATGTGTTTTTCTATCACAGTTTAATACTCATGTATACAAATTCATAGAATGATCAGATAATGTTAGAATATTGCATATCATCAGTATCATGTACACATATCTACTTAAACATGATTACCAGCTATTTACTATACACCATGCTTTAACACTTCAAAAGATAATGCTCAAAATACAACACAATTTCAGAAGATCTGGACGGAAAAACTGGATACATTGTTATACATTATGTTATATTTAGACACTGCAAACTTGTAAAGGCAGGTAAAAGTAATATCAGTATTAAAATATAAAAAGCTTAGGCAACATATGGTCCAAAACAAGCTTCAAACACTCTACCACTCCACATAGCTCCCTACATTTCAAAATATTTACATCTTTAACAAAAGAGGACATTCAACCTCGAAATATGAAGACAGTCCATATATATATATATATCAAAGAAAAAAAAACTGTGCATTAATCATTTTTTCCCCAAACCATGATTTTAAAATGCTTTGCCAACATATATAAACATAAAACTTACAGAAATGAAGAGTTAAATAATTGCACAAATGAGAAATAAAGTAAAATGTTAGATGGATAAAAACAGAAGAATATACAAAAATCCCTGGTTCTTAGGAAAAGGTACTTGATAAAGCAAAACACAAAACCAAACCATACGCTAATTCAAAGATATTTCAAACATTGCAATCAGAAAGTGGCCGGAAATTGTAAATAGTCTTCATATAACCAACTCACTGAATTTTTTAAAATCAGTCCACAAAAGTCTCTTTAAAATATTCACTTCACACTCATAAAAATACTGCAGCATTTGCAGCTTTTCTGCAGATACAGTAGACTACCAAAATAAAAATAGCTTAATGCAGAGACATTGACATAGTTCACGCTACTGTTACACATCCATTCCTTTACAGATTACTTCAGGATTTAGCTTCAAGTCAGGAGAGCATCTACTTGGAAATTTCCTCTAAGGGGGAGTCTGTGCTTAGACAAAATTCCTACCAAAGGCCAGGTTCCCTAGCAAGATCTAACTTGTACTGACTCTAAGACCCTGTTCTCACTCACTTTGAAAGTGGTCTTAGTTAAGACCGCTCCAGAGGAACGGGTCTTGAGGAACGGTTTGCGAGCGTACACACTCCGAGCAGTTTTTAATGGCTCAAACCGCTCCACGAGTCAAAGTGGTCTTGTTGCTATGGCAGCTCAGGTCAGCAGATCAATTTTTTCGCGCGCAGAATACAAACCGTATGTACCGTACTACATGTTTCGCACCGAAGGTCACTAGCTCACTTCCGTTCAAAGTACGCTTTCCGTTCACATTGCACGTTAGAGCGCTCCAAACCGCTCTTAATAAGACCCGCTCCTCAAGACCATCTCGGAAGGTGGTCTTTTGGAGCGGTCCAGAAGTCCACTTCCTGGACCACTTTGACCGTTCTCACTCACCTAAGAACCGCTCCTGAGGAACGGGTCTTAGTTAGAGCGCTCCAGAGCGCTCCAGAGCGCCCCAACGAAGTGAGTGAGAACGGGGTCTAAGAATAACCCCTTGATATGATTAACCCCTTGCCTACTGAATTTCCTCATTCTCATAGACGTAACAAAGGGACCATCCGGTTGCAGTAGCCAATGGGTTAAATAACATTCTAAGAGACATGATTCATATATTCACAACTTGATGGACTTCACTTTGGATGTTGCCTCCGTCACTTCAGTCTCGCTCTTCTTCAGTGAAACAGCGCCCCCTTGGTGCATCGTAACAACAGGAGGAGCCAGAGGGGTAACATTCTTTCTTAACGTGAGCTTCACCACCGGTAGCTGTCCTCCATGAAGTAGCGGTGGTCCTCTGTTTGGCATCGTGACAATTGGTGGAATAGTCGATGTCTGTCTGGGTGATGTCACAGTCTGGATCATTCCAAATAAAAATAAAAAACAATTTAAAGTTAATAAAACCTCTTTGAAGATACCAATGGAAAAGAAATATGCCGGTATATCAAAGGTATCCATTAAAACTACCATCTTTGGGCGAATGGAAAGCTGGCAGCTAGCTTCAGTATGCCATTACATATCTGAGGAAGGTGTCTGAACAATAGACATAGAAACTGTCACAAATAAAAAATTTAAAAAATGGATGTGTCACAGACCTTATTTCTAGTACCATAGTACAATTTTTCACTAGTGTGCCATAGCCTGTGAAACAATAATTTTCTTTTCTTTTGCTTTTCAAGAAAACTATAGAATTTGTTGCTTAAAAAAAAATAAACGTAGCACACGACATAATGGTAAAGATTCTCTACAGAGATTAAGACTGTGACCCGCCAATGACCAAGCCATACGTCATTAGGGGGCGGGGCTTAGCCATTAGCTTTCTTGAGCCCAGGACCTCGCTAAACTGTCTGCAAGAATAAAAGAGATGACAAAAAAAAGCCTTTTCAACCCTTTTGCTCAATTTTTTTATAAAACATTCATGATACATTGAACATTAGAGAAATCTAACAACAACTTTTTTCACCAGTTCTAGTCTAGCGGCTTTTGTCTCATTTTGTTGTGACGGGCCACATCTAAACGAGCCTGTACTTACATGTAGGATTTACTAACCTGTCTTGGTGTGGTATTGCCGACCTGTCTGGGTGTGGCATTGCCGACCTGTCTGGGTGTGGCATTGCCGACTTGCCTAGGTGTGGTATTGCCAGCTTGTCTCGGTGTGGAATTGCCGACCTGTCTCGGTGTGGAATTGCCGACTTGTCTCGGCGTGGTATTGCTGACCTGTCTCGATGTAGCATTGCCGACCTGTCTTGGTGAAAACATGACCTGCCTTGGTAACGACTTGGCCTTGGAGATAGCTCTCTGTGGGCTGACTGAACTACGAGCTGATCTGGAGGTTGTGCTGCCCTCGTTAGTCGAGGTGCTGCTAGGCATGGCCTTGCGGGTCGGAGGTCGCATGCTGGGTACGCTTCCACCTGAGGTATCATCATAGAGGAGCTGGTATTGACGTCGCTTGGACAGAGGCATTATGGGTTGCTTCCGTTTGACTTTCTCTTGGATCTCAATCACAATATCTACAAAGCATACAGAAGAATGGAAAACAACGGGCATGATATATTAAACAATAGCAAACATTTGTACTGTGCTTCATTTGTGAATATCAGCACTCCTGGTTGTACAAAATTTCACTCAGTGATTTGTACCTCGGAAGTGATAACCTGACTTAATCAGTGTAATACCCCAGTCACACAAGACCGACACCAGACTGAACAGAAAAAAAATGTTACATTATTGGGTACCCAATTAACACTTGGGTGGAGAGGAGCAATGCAAATAAAATACCTTGCTCAAAGACATAAGTGCTGTGCTATGGCTAGATATAACAACCTTTGCATTTCCAGTCCAGTGATTAAACAACTCAACTAAAACACTTTTCATAAATGTTGGGGGGGGGGGGGGAATGGGTGGTTCGTGGAGGCTGTTCCTCTGGAGTACTTACCTAATGTTTCATCAACCACTCCTGGTAGGAGTTCCTTAAGAACCTCACAGTTTGTATGCAGAGCTGGATTCACATTAATCTCTAACAACCATATCTGAAGAAAAAAAATAGCAAGAACAGTATGATAAATAATTTTACTTAACATATCAAAGGCATTGTTTAACAATATTAAATCTGAGATGCATGGCCCTACAGTGTCTGTGATTTTACCACACTCTTTTTCCCAATAGACTGTCGTGTTATAAAATACGTTAGGACAACGAAAAATGACATTTCCATTTTCAATCATAAATATCTTGATAATCAGACAGGTGATCGGCTTGTAAAAGTCATGGGATTCCTGACTGACTTCAGGGTTTATTATTATGATTACAGCATGAGCTTAATCCAGGATTTTGTTTCAGAATCAGAGGCAATGTTACTGAGTCACTTTAATTGGTACACAATCTTTTTAACAAATTTAAATATCTTTCAAATGGCCATCCATCTAAAGTTGTGCTCCACATTTGTACTGTCCACAGATACAGAGAAGAATATTACCTACAGATCTGAGGTAGAGAAGCAAGCTAAGATTTAGTTTTGATGCCCAGTTGATAACAAAGAAACAAGTTTCTCTGTAGAGACTTACTCGCTAATAGGGCCAATGCTAATGGTGAAATGATTGTGCAATCATATCGATGAATATAATAAAGGCTCTAATTGCATAAAGCCATTAGATTAACAGTAAAATTATTCATTCACATAGGAGATTAAATATATAATTCAATACATTTTGCAATACCATTATTTAGAGCTAATGATTTGCTTTCACACTTAAATGTTTACTAAGTAAGAGTTTAATTGTTGTTTCACATTATTTTTCATCAAATTCGTACAATTACAGGTGTTCCTTGCAGAGGAAAAGAGGTTCATAGACATATATCTTGCATTATACAAAATATACTGCCATGAGATGGTCTGGTTGGAAACTATGATACCCTAGGTGACGTGACTATGATTATTGAGGGGTGTAGCTCAGAAGGAAAAAGGTTGTCTTCTCGTCACCAAGGATACCGTAATTAGCCGTAAACTTGAAAATAGGCAGTATAAATTAGGTTGATATCCATCATACTAAAGCATGGATCTACTGATGATCATCTGCACTGTATGGTAATGTACACAAAAATATTTTTGAAGATGTGATGAATTCGTGCAAATATATCATATGCGGAATTATGACTTCATCAGGCACAGGTGCCTAAAAGTAGTGGTATGAAGAAATATATGACGTCACAGTAGATTATGCCTGTTTGTGTGATGTCATATGTTGTGTACAGTATACAATGTACATGATAGGTACTGCTGGACATGGATTGTGACATCAGCTGTAACTCCTGGGCCCCCATCTTATAAAGATTTATGATTGATCTAAATCAATCGTAAGTCCTCCAATCAATCACAAGTTTGCAGTCTCCTATCTCTTATGTACAGACAGTAGTTGGGATTGATATCAACTCTTTATAAGACAGGGCCAAGATGGTGATTTACTCATTTGCACAAAGCCTGTGTGAATAGACCGGTTTACTAACATATTCAAATTGTATGCATACTTTTTAATCAAAGGTTGTTCTTGATAACCTGAAGGTTTGCCCAAGGCTTGCCCTACTTAGCAACAAATAAAGTATGCAGACTGGATTCCAAGTATTGTAGTTCATTCATGAATAACATGTTAATGGAATAACTCGTCACTAGGTCCCCAGGAAAGCAACATCCATAAATTTGAAAATGTTTTGTTAACCCGTCTATTATATTTTATCACATGATGTCTAACAGACCAATCAACTGCATGGATTCTTTAATGACAGATTTAAACCATATACACAATCACAAACCAGGGGGTGGTTTACAAAGACTAAGATCGACTTTAAGTTGGACTTAAATATGGCAGGCCATTCATGCCACTGGTTGCTTTCACCATTGGTTTCTCAATTGTGATCTCTTGATAATAATTTTTCCTTCAATGATGAACTATCAAAAAAGTTAATTCCTGTAGATTTTTGACCACGATTTGTACATCCCTTGAGAAACCAATGCCAGGAACGGTTAGAGAAACTAGTGGCATGAAAGGCCTGCCATAGTTAAGTTCAACTTAAAGTCGATCTTAGTCTTTGTGAAACACTCCCCAGATAGAGATAGCGATTGACCCACCTTCATATCAGTGTCAAGGAGAAAGTCAAAGCCAAGAAGGTCAAAGTATCCTAGAGATGTATCAAGTTTGTTCTTAGCTGCAAGGAAGCACTGGCTCATGATCTGACACATTCGTTTCTGGGGTGAAGAAATAGATGAAGAAGAAACATGAAGAAGTTTTTAACAATAGTTAACAAATAATAACAATACTTGTAGCAAATCTTCTAAAAATTTACCTCTTTTAGGAAACCTTCCATAGAATTTTTGTTATTAGATATAATAACTCCTTTAGATCCCAATTGTTTCTAACATACCTATCCAAATTGGAATCCATCTAAATGTACTGTAAACGTGATTGAATATATTTCATAATTTTGTGTTATTTCTGTATTAATGACATTTTTTAATTTGTTTCTGCCTTTTATTTTTGTTACATTGTCACGCACAGTTGCGTATGTATTCCTATAGAAAATGCACAATAACAAAGTTGACAATTATTATCATTATTATCAAATCATCTGTCACTTTACTTTTCTTTTTTGACTGTAAGCTGGTCATTAAATCATTCTATCCCATAGAGTACATTTATGTCTACTTCTTTCTCCATTTACATTTACATTACAGCAGTGGTAGCGATGTCAATAAAAATACGCTGCCTTTAAGCCATTGGGTCACATGTATCCCTTTAATTTCTTTTAGTCTGTATGCTATTAAATCTACCTTCTTTCTCTACAATGATGTGTATATTTCTAACCTGGAAGAATCCTTTGACCCAATCCTTAGGAAGGCCTTTATCTTCAGCCAGATGTTGATTGACATGGTCACTGAATGCATCCATGCTCCATACGGTGTCTTCCTTGATATCCTGATAGTTAGGGTTTTTCTTCTGAACAAACTGTATACAGGAAGACGAAAAAAATCAAGTACATGTAATTGAATCAATCACCCACTCAATCAGTCAATCAATCAACCAATCAATAATTTAATCAATCATTCAACTGATTAAGCAATTAACAGATCAATTATACAATCCCCCAATCAACCAATAGAACAATCAATCAATCAATCCATCAATCAATTAATCACCTCATAAATAAGCTATGTGAAGATATCACTGTTTTCTGAATCAAATATTAACCAAACATTCAAACATTCTATCAATCAATCAATAATTTAACCCATCCATTAATCAGTAAATCAATCAAGCAATCAAATTATGTATAAATATATCCACTAATCTAGTGCTGACATTTGCTCTTGTGACAATTGCTCTGAGCTTTATTTTGTCATAAGTACAGGATTAGAAATGAATTTGAGTTGTAGGTTAGGTTTAGAGTAAGGACTAATCCATATGGTTAGAGTAAGGGGTAGGATTAGGGTTAGGGTTAGGGTTAGGTTCATATTTGGGTAGTTATAAACTTGGTAAGTGTTGGAAATTATCACGGAGCATTTATCGCAGAAGGAAGTTTCGTATACCCCCATCCCTCAATCACTCAAGGAAACCTCACCCCAAGAAATAACTTTACTTATTCTGAGAGATTTAATGTGTTCTTGCCCATCAATCTAAAAGATTCCCCATCAAAGTGTATGAGAGAGGTATAAAGCAAGATATTCTTATCATAATGTACAGTTCCTCAGCACAACATTATCAAGGAAATGGATGCGCCCATGTCAAGCTGAAAGGCATTACATCATGCCAAGAATATCCTTATTTGTATGTCTCTTGTACACTTTCTAAGGAATATTGTAGATCAATTGGCAGGAGAGCATCTGACCTTAAACTTATTCTTTAGGGTGAGGTTTCATTTAAACTCAGAAACCTACTAACCTGATTGGTAAGATGTGTGGAGATATCAGTGCTCTCAGGATCGTAGTCCACACATGACAGACGAAGGTATCCATTGAGAACAATTAAACTAAGAAACCTACTAACCTGATTGGCGAGATGTGTTGAGATATCAGTACTCTCAGGATCGTAGTCCTCACATGATAGACGAAGGTAACCATTGTGGTAGAGAACAATTAAACTAAGAAACCTACTAACCTGATTGGTAAGATGTGTAGAGATATCAGTACTCTCAGGATCATAGTCCTCACATGATAGACGAAGGTATCCATTGAGAACAATTAAACTAAGAAACCTACTAACCTGATTGGTAAGATGTGTAGAGATATCAGTACTCTCAGGATCATAGTCCTCACATGATAGACGAAGATATCCATTGTGGTAGAGAACAATGTAGGGATTGGTACAGGCAATCAGCATGTAGGCTCGCACATCAAACTTCTTGTTCTTCAAGAGCAGGGGGTTAGGAATGTACCTAAAATACAAACATACACAGAGTTAGAATTTCCCGGTGATGTCTAGTCTTCAAATACCTGTGACCTACAATATTCTGATGTTGATAATAATAATAATCAACACATTGGTGTAGTGCTTAATAATATGTTTCTCAGCCCTTTACATTGTAATTATTATTACCCCGATCATTGGATTCAATTGCATATCCGCACATGGTGGTGCACGTGGTCCACTCCCTTGGGAGTATTCCAACCACTTGAACGTTTGTATCCTACCCGTTACCCATATATCACCGGGAGGAGAGAGACAAACCTGGATTAATCAATAGTGTCCTGCCAAAGGACAGTGGTGCCAGGCTGGGATTCAAATCCTCAACTCTTGGATTGAGATTCAAGTGAATGAATCACAATAGCATGACACGTGATACCTCCAAACCAATAGCAAGTTTGGGGGCTAACCTTTGGATAAGTCTCTGTCCTGCAACTTCCTATCACAAGGACTTTAGTGCCGGGCTGCGATTCAAACCATTAACCCTTGGATTGAGATTCAAGTGAATGACCCACAATACGATGACCAGTGACCACCTGTCTACAAAGACCAGATTTTTTGTTTCATTGAAAATTGTTTTTTTCATTGAAACATGTATCAAAGGAAGCTGTGTACAAAGACCACTTTTCGTGTCTCCCTTGGGTGGTCTTTATAGACAGGTTCCACTGTACCTCCAGACCAAGAGCAAGTTTGTTTTGGCTATTACCTTTGGATAAGTCTCTGTCCTGTTCCTTGTCCTCTGGTCCTCCTCTGCATGGCCTTACTAGAGGTAGCTTCTTCTTCTCGTTGTCGATACCTCTCCTGAAGCTGACTTATGTCTCTCACCAGATAGATGCCTTTACCTTGGTTCATACCGTTGGGCTTGCTGATCCAAATCTCTCCCTCTGTAAAAACAGGTTATCAACAGTAATTTAGTTTTCATAATTCTTGTATATGATTATAGTTAATTAACGTTTTATATCTGTTTTGTATGTATGTAAAAACAGTTTTAACTTTAAAATGGACAATATCTCATTTGTGAGAACAAGTAGGGTAAATGAGGGTGAAAATGATGGATGAATTATTCAAAGGTAGACAGGGATTCCAAAAAGATGGTCCTATGTTTATCACTCTTTTCTTGAAATCTAAACAAATGCAGGGCTTATAAATGCTGCCATTTACTGATATCTTTTTAATATTCTAGTTTAATAATAAAAATAAGGACTCAATGGGGAGGCAGGCATTTAAATGCCTCCATCTTTTCCTCTACTAGACAAACTTAATAGGCCGTATGCATTACAAGTAGCAATTGCTTAAATCTGTATGCATAGCATTTTGCTTGCTTTCAGCAATGTCTATCTGTCTAATTTTAAGCCCAATAACACAATTTGTTTCCTTCACTGTAGCTTTTTGTGAATTTCAAAAATGCCTAGATGCCAAAATAAAAATTAACTTGAAATTAGTTCTTGATTACAAGTCATAATAAAACTGAGATAAATTTGACTAATATTTATATTCAAACTTTACTGCATATGAGGGGAGGGGGCTAGGAGGCCCCATCTAGACAAAATGATTTGGGACTATTTTGACTTTCTGTAGTGAAATATAAGCCTATGACTTAAAAAGTAATTCCGGTAAAAATATTGAGTGGTTCAGGATAGTGTGTTCTCAAGTTCACTATCAATGGAGTTTCATTACTACTACTACTCAAATTACCGGGGTCTACTCGCTATTCATAAAGACCCCTATTTATAAAATACCGCCATTCATTTAGTCATGCGTTATGGATAGTGGTCCTTATGAAAAGTGGTCCTTATGAATAGCAGTCCTTGTGAATAGCGGTCCTTATGGATAACGAGCTTGACCCAAATTACCTTTGAAAGTCTGTAAGAAAACATCTCTATCAGGTTTCAAGTCCAAGATATAGGATTCTGGGAAGAACTCGTCTATTTTGAGACCATACTTAGATCTACCCCCTCCTCTGGTCCTGTCACACACCCTCTCGTACTCCCTCAGAGTGTTGAAGAGACCAGTCTTGGTTCCGAGGATACCACCACTGTTTGGGATGCGGTTCACAAGTTGTTCACCTTAAGATGAGAGACAGAAAAAAAATGAAAGAATTCTTGAAAGCTTAAAGCCCCACTGCACTACTTGTAGCTACTTGCGCCCTCTATATAGCAAACAATGCCTAAGCAGTGCCTGTTGGTCCCCCATGATCTCCCTTTTTCTGATGTTAATCGATAGCTAATTTGATGAGATAACCACCTGTCAGTGACCTTGCAGGGGGGTCTAATCCATCCTGGCCAAACTAGTGCAGACAGGCTTTAATTCAATACCATGGGCAATTTAAACTGTCCAAGACTTGATATTGATCTGACATTTTTGGACAAGGAAAACTTTGTCTTTCTTCAAATAATATAAAACATGCAGCAGGTTCGGAAAGTTAGAAATCATTGAACTTGTCCCAAACAATCATATTTATAATGCAGGTGTGTACAACTTGGGGGCACTGTAGAATCAACTGATTGGTTGAATTGATTTCAATCAATTCAAAATTATTGCAAGTCAATTCTGCTAACACTCTAGAAGTAAATTTTCACAGCACTATTGGAGCTATTTGACTCCTTAAAGGGAAAGTCCACCCTGATATTAAGTTAGTTTTAATCGGGACTGCACTACTTGTAGTAACTTGCCTTCTCTATACAGCCAACAATGCCTAAGCGGTACCAGGTGATCCCCTATGGTTCCCTTTTTTTTAATGTTAATTGAGAGCTGATTTGATGAGATAACCACTTGCCAGTGACCACGCAGGGAGGTCTAATCCCTCCTGGCCAAACTAGTGCAATGGGGCTTTAAAGGGAAAGTCCACCCTAATATCAAGTTGGTTTAATAGAAGCAGAAAAACGGGAGGAATAGGCCCAGTGAAAGTTTGAACAAATTAAGATTAAGAAGGAGAAAGTTATGAATTTTTAAAGTTGTAATCAATCAAACACAAATTGGTACTGACACTGTGACGTATCTTGCAAGCTCCTCTGCAAGATAGGTTACAGAGGGTGGGCTTCCCCTTAAAGGAAGAATCTTGTACCTGGTTTGAAAGCGTTGAAGTTGATGCTACTCCGAAGCTCTACCCACTTCAACCTGAACTGATTGCTATGCTTCTCCGTCATTCTACGCCAACCTTTCGTCACTAATGCTCCCTCGATCCTGAAATTAAGAAAGTAAACAATGACAGGTCAGAGACCTATGTTAGGTTTGGATATATAACAAGTACATTTATACATGTAGCAGTGTGAAGAAAATTTGCAGGTAAACAGGGATGTCTATGCTCCCTGGGGGTGGTTCATAAAGCTGTGCGTAAAGTTACGCATGACTTTACGAATGACTTTAAAGGCCCACTGCACTACTTGTAGCTACTTGCGCCCTCTATATAACAAACCATGCCTAATCGGTGACCATTGGTCCCCCATGATCCTCTTTTTCTTATGTTAACTGAGAGCTGAGTTGATGAGATAACCACCTGTCCAGTGACCTTGCAGGGCAGTCTAATCCCTCCTGTAAACTATGGCAGATACGCTTTAATATGAAGAGCTAAATCGGATTCTCAAATCCTTTTAATTGCATAAGCTAAAGTTGAAATATGCAGATGTAGATTGACCTTATCGTTATTAACAAAACATTTGAATGGAAAGTGTATTTTTGGCTACAATTTAATTGAGATTATGGGAAATACAGTCACACTTTGTTAAAATGTCAGGTAAAACTTTGGACATCCCATTTGGCTTTTCATATTCAAATTATTTGTAAAGTCATTCATAAATGTACGCACAGCTTTATGAAACATCCCTCTGGTCATGCTCTAAAGCATATTCATTCCGGATAACCCTCCTTTCTTATGCAAAAGATGACTTTGAATACTACTGCAGTTTCATTCAAATAATATCATTTGAGAATTAACATTGTTATATATTTTTTTTACTTTATTTTTTTTTGTAATGTCAAACATGGCTACAATATTGAGCAGAAGAAAAATCAAATTGAATTCACATGATCAATGACCTTCCTTCATGAAGCTTAGTCATAGGATATAAAGATATGCCTTTACAATACCCAATTTGATTATGTATTCCATCCATCAAACTACTTACTCAATCAAAGTACATTGACCTCCCTCCAGCTCCATTCTTCCTCTCACTTCCACAGTGAACCAATACTATATCCCCATCCGGCCAACCATCAGAAGAATTCTTTGGTTTGGTGGTGCTTATTAAGAATCAAGGACAACTACCCTCTGGACCGTCACCATGTGAACCATGAGAAAACTACCCTAGGACAATAACTCTAGACAGCGACATCTTAAGACAATTATCCCCTCCCCGTGCAACAATTGTCCTTGCACATCCCGATAACTACTGGTATACCCACTATGTTGTATGTACATGTAGTTGGTAAAGGGTAACAGAATTTTTTCCAGGGGGCAGTTTTCGAGGGGGTAATAGTCTTGGGGGAGATTTCCAGGGGTAGCTATCAAAGGTGATAATTGAGGGGGCAGTTGCCCTCATACGGTTAATTACAAATTCTACAAGTCCTTTGAGAATACTCACAATGATACTCCATTGTTTCCACCAATGTAGAACGTTGGTGATGTATCCACCTGCATGACAGACTTCCTCCCGCTGGTATCCCCGGGACTCTTCCTCTCCCGTCCCCCTCCTCCCCCTCCTCCTCCTCTGTCTCCATTCTTCCCGTCTTTCTTCTCCTTGGACTTTGAAGAGTCCTTGCCCGTCTTGCTTCCATTTTCTCCTCTTCCCAAACCACCTGCCTCACCAGAAGGGCAGGAAGTAGACCCTCCTTTGCCTCCATCTCCCTCCTTGCTGTTTGGGTTGTTGTCATAGCAACCCCAATCGGCATCGTTATTGCTGTTATTGTTGTTGGAGTTTGGATTATTTAAGGTATTGAAGGATTCTGAAGGTTCGCTCATTGTCTTGGTGTCCGCTGGTGCAGGTGGTGAGGGTTCACCTTCATCTTTGTGCTGGTTATCTTCGCGTAAACTATCCTCTATTTGGGCATCAGTCCGGTAATAAGCACCTTCATAACCCAATGCATCGTCATAGTTACCATCAATATAATCATTATCATCTCTTTTATCCTCACCGTCTCCTTGCTCAAGCTCAGGAGGAAACTCCTCGTCGAGGGAGGTCAGGTCATTCTCCATCTCTTCATGGTTGCCATGACAATCGATGCTAGGTCCACTTGTTTCCACGCTCAGCTTGACCATAGCTTCTTCTACCGTCTGTTCTTGGTCTTTACTCATTTTAGTCCGTAGCCTAACCTCCTCTCTGTCAGATCCATCTACATCCCCCTGCTTGTCTCTCTTCTCCTCTCTCTCCATCTCCTCCTCTTCTGCATCATTTGGTTCTTGTTCCTCGTCCGCATCACTAGCATCCGCGGCTTCTTCAAGTTCCTCTTCCTCCTCTCCTTTCTGCTTCCTTTGTAGAGAGAAGATTGATTTCTTGCCTGGTTTGTATTTGGTTCTCGTCCATGGGTGCTCATCGCAGTAGCTGAAGAAAGAAAATACAAATATGATTACTTCTCTGATAAACTGCAATGGCATTCTTTTTTACTCTTTTTTATTCTATTGTTACTATCATTGTTTCCACTTATTGCCAGTACCACAAACTTAAACTATTTTATAATTTTTGCATATACAAATGTAAATCGACTCTCTCATAAAATATGATATTGTATCATATTGGAAAGATCCCTTTCAAACATTGCTGATTCAGATTAACTTTCCTAACCTTTTCCTAACCTTAACTTTTCAACCTGACGCGTAAATAAATAAAAAAATAATATGGTCATTTATATAGCGTCGGTATCCGCCAGGTTCTGACGCTCATGGCGCTTTACACATGTAAGGTACATGTACTCAGTTTTTCTGTTAATGCATGTACTGTATAGATTCTCTTCCCTCTTACTGAAAGCTGAGTCGATGGGGTAAGAGACTTACCGACAAATGCCCTTTCTGCCCGAATTCAACCGGCACCTTACATTATATACTGACACATTGCCCATCCCTCTTGGATAGATTCAAATGGAGACACGACAATCCCAATAGCAATGTATTGAACAACTAAAGAAATGGTGACGGCATCTTTGATATATACTTGGACATCCAAGGTTATTCCGTCACTGGGAGCACTATCCCTCCCCTCATCCTAGTCACCACCCAGCGACCGGATTTGGTTGTTGTACGGGAGGAGAGAAAAAGGATGTTGCTTGTGGAACTTACTGTTCCATTTGAAATAACTGTTCAGGATGAACATACCAGTAATAGAAAGGTGGAAAGGTATGACGTTGTGGTAAGAGACTCGAAAGACACAGAATACTTGAGTCTTCTTTGAAGCAATCGAAATAGGGGTGAGAGGTCACATATGTAGATAGAGGAAAAAATCCCCTAGACTCAAGAGTACTTGATAAACGCAAATGTGACGTCAGACCTAGCTAGGATGATGATTAATCACATTAGTATTTAAAGCATGTTCTTCGGGCACCGTTCCTTATTTTCTGTAGCAGGAAGGATTGACATTGGAAAAGAGTACAATATCTGAATTTATAGAATAAGAATATGGACCAAAGTTACTCACTCGTCATAGTTTATTCAGCATTTATTACCGAGCAGTCGAGCACCCATAAATTAATATGATTAATACTTTATCCCCACTTCTCACAAATTATCTTACCTGCTTAAAATCCTTAAATCACAAAATTCATCAATAATGCCAATATATTTCTCCATGATTTAGATTTTATTATTGTATTTTTTCTTGCTTTTTGTATTCTTTGATTCATTGTACAAACCAGCCTTGAACACTGATTATGAATATTGTAATTGAACTATAATACTTATCTTTGAAAAAAGAAATGATTACAACAAGTTGAAAAGGCTCATTAAAGAAAACCTCACCCCAAAAAATAACTGTAGTTATTCTGAGAAATTAATTGTATTCTTGCCCATTAATATACGAGATTCCCCACCAAAGAGTATAAGAGAGGTACACGTATAAAGCAAGATATTCTTAAAGATAAACTTGAGTTCTGGTAATGCGATTGCATTGTGAAAGAAAAGGTGTGGAATGGATCAGAAAAGTTGATCATATAGCATGTAAGTAATGGTGTGTAAAGCAAGGTTCTGGAGTCATCAAAATCATCATAAATTTGGCATAGTCTTGGTAAAGTAACAATCACTTACACAGAAAGCTGTACATGAGACAACACACATGATGTCGGGGCTGGTACTACCCTGATTTCCATATCTTTCTATGCTCATTACTCAGCCAGTATACATTTTCTTCCAAAATTGTTTGGCACATGACATTTATTTGTAATCTTGAACATTCAGTGTAAGTTTCGTTAGATTCTGTGAGAATTCATTTTCTTTTTTTACCAGAACTCAAGATTATCTTTAACATAATGTACAGTTTCTTAGTACGATATGGGCATTGCCATTTCCTTGATAATGTGACGTTCTATGTGAAGTCGTTGATCAAGTAAATGTATTCAAATGTACAAATGCTTCCTTCCCACCCGTGTGTGGTGATGAAGTATTTCATTCACCTGCCATTATCTTTTGTACTGCAATTGTCAGTATGCAAATTGCATAAATATATTGTTGCCCTTCTGGGGTTTATCTTTTTTTTAATGAGTTACAACTGTTCCCCTGTTATATATTGTCACTAATTACAGTTTTTATATTTTCAGCTATGATTTTCCCTCCTTGAAAAGTAAAAATTTTGTTATTGAATTATAGTCTTTCAAACAAGAGCTTGGTGCATGGTACATGTACGAGTTTGCCTGGTACGTCATATTATCAAGAAAATGGCTGCACCCAAGTCATGCTAAAAAAAGGCATTACATCATGCCAAGAATATCTACATTTATGCATCTCTCGTGCACTTTTGTAAGGAATATAGTATATCAAAAGGCAGGAAATAATCTTATCTTTCAGCATATCTACACTTATTCTTTGCGGTGAGGTTTCGTTTCAGAAATACAACTATACTACAAGATAGTGCTACACATTCCAATGAAAATTCTCTTCAGGCCATGCAACCAAAGTGTGCCAACAAGACCGATTGATATCAAAAGACCAAACAAAAAATGATCGTAACCTGAATGGCCAAGAATCGGTCAGTATGGAGTCGGTATGGAATCAGTATGGAGGCGTGACTCAGATATAAAGATCCCATAAAAGGAAATGGGTGGAAACTGTTATTGATTGTGGTGGAGAATAGTACTGTTCTCAGCCGAAAGGTTATTCTCCAAAAATCTCTTCCTTGTATAAATTGCGGTCATGGTGGTTTCTGGCACCACGAAAGGTCGACTCAGAACTGGGTCACAGAACATTAGTAAGTCACAGGGATATGAGCAAGACATTTACCATGAGTGAAAAATTAAAATAAGGATAAACAGAAAAGGGAGAGGCACATTACTGCATTTAGGGGGCAACTATAACAACAACAAATTAAAAGAAGAAGGTCAGCTCAGCTGGTACATGATACTTCATCTCTGATTCTCAAAAAAAAGTCATTGGAAACTCTAAAATAATAGATTAACATGTACATCTGAACTGCTTCCCTTGGGTTTAGACTATTAACAATCGTTTTCTATCTTTTTTTTAATGGAAAACTACTGATCCCCCCCCCCCCCCCATTCTGATAGACTTTTACACATCAGCAGTATTTGTGATGGTGGTGCTTTGATTAGAAGTTGTAGAAGGGTTAGTCATAGGAGGGGTAATCAACCTTTTGGAGGGGGAAGGTATAGTTTGGCTAAAGCGTCAACTCATTTGGGCTCATTCAAACTCTTGTTTCACCTCAAATAGAAGTTCTACACAGTGCCATATTAGCAGCCTATCGATATCATCATAATCATAATAATAACAATAATATGGATATTTATATAATGCCGGTAAACGCCAAGCTCTGAATCTCATGCCGCTTTACATATATAACCAAATGTATACTGCTAAAGTACCTAGCGCTCAAGCATATCAGATACCCACTTACACCTGGGTGGAGAGTGGCAAATGTGGATTAACGTCTTGCCAAACGATGTTAGTGCCACGGCAGGATTTGAACCCTGTACCTTGTGATCTGCAGTCGGTGGACTTGTCCACTAGACCACAACACCCTACATAACTATCATTACTCATCCTAGATGGTTCATATTCTTGATGGTAATAGAGATGCTTCTACAGAGGGGCAATCATCCAGGAGAGGGTCATTTTATGAAGGATTCTTACATTATGAAAAAGGGGAATATCCATTGCTCCTTGTTTGTGGACTTCACTCCATTCCTCTCTTCGTGAAATTGACAGTTTTGAACACTAATGAAGCCTCTAAACTAATCAATTTTGGAGGTGTTGTAGTCTAGTGGATAAGTCACCCGACTTTAGATCACAAGTTACGAGGTTCAAATCCCAGCCCAGCACTAATCACTTTTGACATGATGTTGATCTACATTTGCCACTCTCAACCGAGGTTGTAAATGGGTACACGGTAGGATGCGAACATTAATGTAGTTGCTCAGCATTGTGAGCGTCTGTAAAATGGCACCTGGCCTCATCACCATCATCTTCACCCTCATCATCATCGACTACATACCTTCTACAGATGCCTTGTAGCCATGTATCAATGGACTTGAAGTGGTAGACCATATTGTGATAGGACTTGGAAACAAAGCGGTAGGAATCAAAGACTTGAACCTTGCCCTTCTGCCAGCGTGCTCCGATGGTCTTGGGTCCATCACCTAACCACACTTCCACGTGCACCATGTCATGCTTCTGCTTCTTAGCTGTCAAACAAACACAAGAGTATATACATGGGACCAAACTGTCTATTTGCAAAATAACATATCATGTAAGTAATATAGTTTATCACAGAGTTAATGCACTTCTGGCTCTGAACAGACAATATATCTTGGCTGCAAAACAACATGGATAGATACACTGTACATAGGACAAGAAAGCTATGTGTAAAAGAAACAATATGCTTCTTGGTTGCAAAAATCAATACACCCTTTCATTGTTACAAGAGTGCGCATGCACAGAAATGGGCGCCATTTTAATTTACGAGTAAACCTTATAATTTAAAATGGAGCCCATGTTAATATAATGTGAGCGCGTGTAGTGACGCAACAATACCTGTGCATCTGAAAGCATTGATGACGCAATGTTTACGCGCAAATTAAAATGGCGGCCTTAACCGTGAAAGGGTGTATTAAATACAGGAATTCAGACATAATGTATTTCCAATACAATCCACTAATACAAACATATATTTTATTTTTAATATCAGGTAAAAACAAGCTATAAATCAAACAATTCAAAAAATCCAATGTACAGACTACAAGCATTTATAGCAGATCAAATATGTATTTTGCTTACATTTCTTATTGAAGTAGGTGCCTGAGATAAAGACTAAGTCACCAGGTTTCATCTCTTCTTCTGTGATGGTGATAGGTAGGATGTCATACTGATAGGCTTGGTTCCAGCTGTCAACCTTAAAACCAAAATCTTCTTTCAAATCCATCAAGACCCGCCTCACCAGACCACAGCAGTCTAAGAAGAATGGGGCGTCGTACTCTGGAGCTATCAAAATGACAAAACGGAAACAAACAAACAAACAAAACATCCATTACACTAAATGTTATTTGTACAATTGCCATTTTAGTGGGGACGCAGACCTATACAAATTTTCAAATCATTTTCTGTATCTCCTGACATGTTTAAATTTTAACTGCCTAAATAAAGTACATATACATTACACTAGAGGAGTCGTGGTCTAATGGATAAGAATCTTAATTTTGGATCACAAGGTACATGGTTCAAATCCCTGACCGTTGTAAGGAAGTACATGTCTTCGCATTCTCCTTTGAGGGTTTGCACGTTCCTTTTTGTCGTAGGCAGGTGCCGCCCACAAAAGCTTACATGCTGGGTTGCTGCCCTTGTTTAGTTTGTAACCATCATTTGTATTTTCTACAAGCCTGCCCTGACATACCACAAACCCATTAAATTACCTAGGAAAAACCTCCACTCATCCGCACAATATAAATGTAACTGTTTCCGGGCCAATTAGTATTTGTACCATAATATAGATTTATTAAACAGGTTTTTGATCCCTGTTGCTTCTTTCTTTCAATTTATATCTTCACAAACAGTATTCAATGAATTAAGTGTCACAATCAATGAACCTTTATTTAATTTCAAAATGAAGGACAGGCTATTCTTAGTGAAACTATGTCAGATTCAATTTTTAAGATTTGGGCAATTCTACCTACATCCGTAAAAGTAATTTTCTGTAGATCATCATTTGGTATGACTCATTGCAGAAAAAAATACATTACCAAATGAGTGAAAAGTTTGAGAAATCTTCTCAAGAGTATTGTTGATTACATTCTTAATAAGAACATTCTCCACCCACATATTTTTCAGTCTCTATTACATTAATTTTATTTAAAAATATGATTCATGATCTGCAGAAAACCATTATTTCAATTATCCAAGCCTTCAATAACATAGCTGAACATAACAGTTTCACTTTAAAGTGGCCTTGATATTATTGTTTTCATTTTTGTTTAATATTCTGGTTGGCTTTCATTTGAATTAATACTGGGCACAATATCAGCAGGGTATTATATGCTGTCTACACAAAGAACATAATAAGAAGGAAAAAAAAGGAATGAGTATTTAAAACAAAACTTACTTCCTTTGGTTTGGTACCGCTTGGCATACGGTACACCAAAGTAATGTTTACACTGGTCCAAGAACCTCATTCGAAGGGCCCACATTCGCTCATGGTCTTTCTTTCCTAATAGCTCCCTCTCTCGAATCAGTTCCATCTGTCTAAACTGGTCCTACAAAATACAAAGACAAAATAAAGTTAATTATTAAATTAAAAAAATGGAGAAAAACTAGATGGAATTTTGACTGCGCGCAGTCGAAAATGATGCCTCCGCCATAGAGCAATTTAAATAATAGTGAGGTCTCTTGCTTTGCGCAATTTCTCAAGACGCGTGCCAAATTTCGAGGCAATCGGCCCCTCCCCCCCCCCCCCCCCAGTCAGGGAGGTGCTCAAAATAGCCCAGTTAAGTACGGGTTAAGTAACGGAACATATTTCAAGTGGTTCTTGACATATCATGACAAGTCCTATACATGTAGTCTGAAATTTTCAAGTTGACCTCTATGACCTTTGACATACATGTACTCCAAAATCTAATCTGATCGTTTTCCTATGGTGATATATATACTATCCTTAAGTTTGAAGTTTAAATCTCCAGTGGTTCTTGAGATATTATGATAACAATCTCAATGTATGGAATTTCATAAGTTGACCTCTGTGACCCTTGACCTTTGACCTACGTGCTCCAAAATCTAATCAGATCGTCTTCCTATGGTGATACATACTATCCTTAAGTTTGAAGTTTAAATCTCAAATGGTTCTTGAGATATCATGATAACAATCTCAATGTATGGAATTTCATAAGTTGACCTCTGTGACCCTTGACCTTTGACCTACGTGCTCCAAAATCTAATCAGATTGTTTTCCTATAGTGATACACACTATCACTAAGTTTGAAGTTTAAATCTCCAGTGGTTCTTGAGATATCATGATAACAATCTCAATGTATGGAATTTCATAAGTTGACCTCTGTGACCCTTGACCTTTGACATACGTGCTCCAAAATCTAATCAGATTGTTTTCCTATAGTGATACACACTATCACTAAGTTTGAAGTTTAAATCTCCAGTGGTTCTTGAGATATCATGATAACAATCTCAATGTATGGAATTTCATAAGTTGACCTCTGTGACCCTTGACCTTTGACATACGTGCTCCAAAATCTAATCAGATCGTCTTCCTATGGTGATACATACTATCCTTAAGTTTGAAGTTTAAATCTCAAATGGTTCTTGAGATATCGCGCTAACAAACTCAATACAAGGAATTTCATAAGTTGACCTCTGTGACCTGTGACCTTTGACCTACGTACTCCAAAATCTAATCAGATCGTCTTCCTATGGTGATAAATACTATTCCCGAGTCTTAAGTTTAAATCTTAAATGGTTCTTGAGATATTGTGATAACGGTCAAACGGGACGGACGTACGGACGGACGGACGGACGGACGGACGGACGGACGTACGGACGGACGGACGTACGGACGGACGGACGGACGTACGGACGGACAACCCGAAAACATGATGCCTCCGGCACCACCTTCGGTGGCGGAGGCATAAAAACAGCTGAATGTTTAGAATGTCATATTTCAAATGTATGCACACTACTGTAATATAATATCTTCACAACCTGGAAGCTTTAAAAAAACTGGTGTTACGTTAAGGTAGATTTTAACCAAAGATCAACAAGTGAATTCCATACCGGTAGTTACTACAGGTTTGTCCAAAAATTTTAACATTTCCAAATTGTATAACTAAATTATTCATACCCCTTGTAAATTTGATGCTTTTGTGTTTTTTCAGAACATAAGAATGAAAGGTGGACTGGTTATTAAAATTAGGGCAATTGTTGAATACTTTTGGATGCATGATTTAATATCACGTTCTCAATAGACATAAATTAGAGCAAATCAATTTTTCACATACTTGAATGATTACAAACCTTGGTAAGGGTATGGATAATTTAGTTGTTAACTGTATGTCTATCTTCATCCAAAACCTTTTGGTCTGTACAGATCAAAACAGACTGACCTTCATTAGAACCTTCAAGAGATAATATTTCTTACTGGAAAAATGTATTGAAGAGAACCTTCACACCTAGACCATCAATAAGGTAATATACTGCAGACAAAGAACTTCATTGGCATCTGAATAAATCTTGTAAATATGTAATTATATATAACATCCTTTTTTTAAATCCTAGGAGCAATTACAACCTTTATACACAGGCAAACTGTGTACAAAGACCAACAACCTACAAGGACCCGCTTTTTTGTATCCATGGAGCAATGTTTCTCACTGAAAGTCTTTACTCCAGAGAACCTTATATAAAGACCATCTGTAAGGTACAGACCACTTGGCTTTGTGAGGGCACTAAGGATAGGAGTCCAGTGGTTCATAAAGAGGTCCAGGGCCCCATTGCATAAAACTTACCATTGATGGTAACTTTGCCATCAATGGCAACTACCATGGTAACAGGGCTCAACAGCCAATCCAAATCAAGGTTTCCATGGTAGTTACCATTGATGGCAAAGTTACCATCAATGTTAAAGATAAACTTGAGTTCTGGTAATGCGATTGCATTGTGAAAGAAAAGGTGTGGAATGGATCAGAAAAGTTGATCATATAGCATGTAAGTAATGGTGTGTAATGCAAGGTTCTGGAGTCATCAAAATCATCATAAATTTGGCAGAGTCTTGGTAAAGGAACAATCACTTACACAGAAAGCTGTATATGGGACAACACACATGGTGTCGGGGCTGGTACTACCCTGATTTCCTTATCGTTCTATGCCCATTACTCAGCCAGTATACATTTTCTTCTAAAATTGTTTGGCACATGACATTTATTTGTAATCTTGAACATTCAGTGTAAGTTTCGTTAGATTCTGTGAGAATTCATTTTCCTTTTTTTACCAGAACTCAAGTTTATCTTTAAGCTTGGTGCAACAGGGCCCTAATGTTCATATATTCTCGTCTTTCACATAAGGAGGTCTTGGGTTCAAATCTTTTCACAGAAGGTACCATTAAAATACATGTTTAATTTGATTAAAAAACTCCATCAAAAAATCCTATTCACAGTGATAATTCTATGGTATAGTAGCAATCAATATACTGCAGGCAAAGCACTACCACAATATTTTATTTGATTATAAAATTAATAGATCTGAGGAGGTAGAGGTAGTATTTTATTCATTGTCACACCAAAGGGAACTGCATCTTACAAATTATTTTCTGATTATTTCAGGGTTTCCCCCATTATCAAACATACTCAACTTATAGCTTGTACATAAGCTTCATATTCAATGGCAATTCATTCACACACTGACTCTTTCATTCATCATGTCGTATCTGTTTTGTACATACCATGCATATTTGCAGAAGTCTTTATATGAAATATATACTTTATGACTTGTTCTCATGCACGCATTAAAGATCTGCAGCCTTAATAATTCAGTAATGCTATTTCAGCTTTCACAAATCAGGGTTAATTTTAGACGCACTTTGGACTCTGTTGGGCAGAAGGTTAGGCGCCATATTAATCACAAAGGCATTCTATACAGGCAGGTGACAATTGTGAAAAGCGATTACCGTATGACAAAACTGCCTGCCAGCAGCCACATACTACAATTTCTTGATGTAAGATATGCAAACACAAAATTAGTCAGTAAGCATCAGTCAGATCTTTATCACATCAGCTATTACTTTGTAATGTTTATTTCAAAATGTACTTGCACCACTTTTCCATTTCAAAAGGCACATGTCCTCGTTTACTGCTACTTATTGACCGAGCAAGAAAACACGTTGAGTAAAGTTCAACTTCCGAACATCGTAAATTTTAATGGAGGAACAAAGGCGAGGGAAAAATATATATTGCATTATGCTGTGTTTGCTTGATAAATTCAAGGGGGAGGGAAATGGATATTATGTGGGCAGATTTGAAGAGACAAAAGAGACAAGCTCGAAAGGTAATGAAAACAGATCTGTTCTCATGAAGAACACACACACACACACATATATTCACTCACACACTCATGCTTTCAATGCATTCACTTTGTAACGGCAAGCTTGCTAAATTTATAAATTATTTTCATCAATTACTTTCGCTCAATACACACCCACCGTGGTGTTGCTAGGCAACCGGTCAAACATGAAATGCTGCATGTGAGCTATGTTCGTACTATCCGATCTATCACGGTGTACCAGTCCTGAAAAACCCTAATGGACAGTTTTTATCTTGATCCTCTAAAAATCCACATGAAAATAACGACTTCTCTCCACCTGTTCTTGTCAAAAGCTGGTGGTAAAGAATTTATTGATTTTGTTTCACATCCCAATAAAAACATCAAAACCATTCTGAGATATGAAAAACAGAAGAAGACAAAATGAACATGGTTAATCAGTAAGCTTAAAATATCCAATGGAAAGGAAAAAGAAAAAATGAACTATACAGTGTATCACTGGAGAAAAAAACACCCCAAAACAGAGATATTGTGAACAACTATAAGCTTTATGACTTCTTGTATTTCATAATATGCTTTCGAATGATACAGTGATGACGTTAATTCATAAATGCTTCACTGAACAATATTGTTTTTTAAAATGGCATGTCAAAATCCATTTGTGCCAGATTTGGGTGAAAGAGTGAACATGGTAATGATGGTTGAGCATCACATGAGCGAACATGGCTGAACATGACATGAAGGAAACATCAACTTTCAACCGAATGAGAAGCGTCAACGAGGGAAAGATTATTGCCATCAACACTAGGTAAAGGATAGTGGAAATGCATTGATGGTGATGGTAAAAAAGGGCATATTTTGTACTTAAATGGGTCTGCAATTGTTATGAACAGACATCTTTGCATTTGTCGAATTTTTAGGAGCAGCTTAAAGGTAAAGACCAGTATTGGAAACGCCCCAATTTAAAAAAATGAAATGGAAGCTCTCATTACCAATCATATGAAAGAATATGTTTTGACTAATACATGATGATAAAAAATTTGCCGGGAAACCGCCTACTAATTCATATATTTGGTAAATTTGTTTCTCTCATGGTCTGTGAGAGATATAGGGTAGTCCCATATACATCTTTCTGTGTATAGTGCTTGTAACTTTACGAAGAATGGGCCAAATTTCTTATCATTTTGATGATTCCAGAACCTTGCAGATGCT